TACTTTGAATGTTTTAGAAAAGTATTCGAGATAAAGATGTATGGAACTACTGAAAATTACTTTAGATTCCTTTTCCTTATTCTGTAAATTCTTTGCTTGGAATATGAATGTTGCTGGAAGTATGATTATTTTCACAGGACAATGATATAAATGGAACTTTAAAACTTTTTTAAGTGTTACAGTGATATTTCGTTATATCTTCCATAATGTCAATAATATTGATTTCCTTGCAACATCCATAATTATTACAAATGTCAATATAACGAAATATCTTTTATGCGATGTTTGTGGTGTAATAAAAATCTGTGTTTCGATTACGTTTGTGATACGTATTTCTCACTTATATGTAATAATATAGAATAAAAATATACTATTAGTCCGATATTTGAAAATATACATGCGTTCGTTGTCACTGTTAAACTATTATAATAACAATGGAATAATAAAATAATTTACTCAAATGTACATACTAATACACATACATATTCATAAAAACAATATTAAACGCAATAAGTTTTTTGTACGCGAAAAAAAACCAATAGGTCTGTCGGAACTGGAACCGAAGACTCCTTTCTAATACGTCTACGACCATGGTCCCTTCTTAGATTTAACATAGTTCACAAATTCACCGTTCTCATAACGTAGAGGGCAGCAGAAAATCTCTGACTTTTTACACTATTTTCTGGTAACACTGATAAACAGACACCATATTGTAAATGTAATGTATCAATTTCAAAACTATTTTCCGTTGAACGGTTAATAAGAGCTGAGCATCTTAATTTGACATTAATATTTATTAATATCATTTGCAATGACCACTTTTCGAGACCAGTATAAAGAAAAAACATTCGGTTTCGGGGACACTAACAGAGGTCGAATTATTCGCGCCGAAAAACATGAAAAGTTGCGCAAAAATCAAAGAGTCAAAACTTTTAATGAAAATAGAAATATATTGAATCCATCGGCTCACACAACATTAAATGAAGGTTTGTACAGTGCATTGGTGATGTTTAATGTGTTCTCACTTATACCACTGTTCGTTATGTTATTATATATCGATTTTAGAACCAGAGGTACCTCATAAGGCAGACCGTATGACAAGACTACTAAAATGGAAAGCAGAACGCGATAGACGTAAGAGAATGGAAAGTTTTAAAAAGAAACCTGCTTTTGTGGTTGGTATAGTTCACCACAAAATATATTCTCCTATTACACAAGACGTACCTGTTGCATCAGTTGGGTCACGTAAAAATGTATGTGACTCAAAGGTAGAAAAGGCATCTTCTATCACAAAAAGAATTACTAGGGCTACAGAAAAAAGATTAAGGTATAAAACTCATTTGAAGGAAGTAACAGCACTTTCCATAAAAGATTCACAACCTGATCAAAATGCTGTTCCTGAAAGTCATACATTTAAGTCACCAGAGGGGTTACCTCATATGCAATTGTTTGGGCACGCAGCATGTAGTATAACCTTTAATGATACTCCCGAAAAAGATATTATTAGTAGCAATGTAGAAGTTAGTGAAGCATTAAATAATAGCACTAAAAACACTCCTGAAATACTTGATAACAGTGCTAAAGAAACACAGTCTTCTTCCAATAATAATACAACACCTAAATCAGTAAATCCCAATTTATCCAGTGAACCAGTTTTCTACTCACCATATGTAGTTTCAAGTCGTGGAAAAAGCAATGCTAGAAAGGAGCAACAGATAAAGCGTGGTTTCAGTCTTAGCCTTTCAACAAGTGATGAGATTCCAACAAAGGATACTGTCATGAAAGGTCTGAACATTTCAATTGAAGCAGAAGAACGTACTGCGCAATATTTTAAGTTTCTTTTAAACAGAGAAATAGATAGACTGAATGAATTGTGTGATAAATGGAGACAGGTAAAAGAAGAACTGGGGATCACAGAAGATGGTCAGTATCTAATTAATCAGGCTATTGGACAAACTAATTTGCTAATAAGTAAAAAGTTTGAAAGATTTCGTAGTTTAGTTTCCAATTGTGAGACAGGAAAAGGAGAAAGGTTAGTTACATGTAATGACTTGCAAGGATTCTGGGACATAGTGCATATGGAGATAGAAAATTGTGATTTACGATTTGAAAAGTTGGAACAACTTCGTTCAAAAGGATGGGAAGAAGAGCAATTGCCTGTTGCTAGCAAGCCTGTTGTAAAAAAGAAAACTGTTACAAAGAAGAAAACAGTGTCTACAAAACCTAGTTCAATTAGGGCATTCTTAACAAAAAGGAAAGAGAAAATGACTAAGAAAACACAAAATGATAATTCAATGGAAGAACCTGAAATTTTACAGAACAAAATTTCAAGTAATAAAGACGAAAAAAATGAAGACCATTCCAATGTAAAATATAAAACCAGAAGATCAATTGGTTCCAGTGATAACAAATTTTCATCTATCAAGCATGATAAAACAAGATTAAGTTTGCTGCAAAAAGTGCAATTGTCAGAAACAAAGAAACATAAAAGTCCCTTAATTGTAATGAAAATAAGTCAGATGTGTAAAACACCAGAAATTCAACTAGACGAAACAATATCTTATGTTAACTCTGATCAAACTCCAGGAAAAAGTATATTGAAACCATCAAAGAACACGAGTGAGGTCGAATATCGTGCAAAGTCAACACATAAAGTTAATTTCAATGATATTGTAGTTCTAAATGAAGTACCAATTGATGAAGAAACACAAATGAAAATGGATTTGGCTGCAGCATTGGCTAGAATAGATAGTGTTGACTTTGATAGTCCAACTGAGGATGTACCAATACATGCAGAAAGAAAGCTAACTTTTGATGATGATAGCTTCGAAGACTCGGTAAATATATTTGATATGAACAAACATTGTGAAGTTAAGAAGTCTACAAAAGATAGTGTAAAGAAACAACCATCTATAAAGGTAACAACTGCAACACCACTGCAAGAACATAGTAGTCCAAGTAATTCATCGCGAAGAAGAACTTTGAGAAGACAAAACGCTATAGATGAAAGTGTTGGAAGTCATAAATCGATAGTTGCTTCTACACCATTCAAAGAAAATGCAGACAATGCAGATCAAAGTATTAGAATCCTAAGGAATAGAGCCATTACCCCTACAAACACATCCAAACAGAAGAGTAGATTTTCTAGGAAACTATCTATAAGTGTACCAGAATCAGACCATAAAGAAAATATTAATTCTGAGATTAACATATGTGATGCTATTGGCAATGTGAGTTTACATGAGAAAAGTGAGAAGAGGAAATCCAGGAGAAGTGTTAAATTCTCTGGTAAAGACAATTCATTGCAGGTTGCTAATTATTCTATTTTTGGTGAATCGTACTTCTTTTAATAAATACAGTTTATTACAGGTGAAAAGTGCAGTATTTGCATAGAAAAAGTTGTATTTCCTATGACTCCTCATACTAAACGTAATAAGACACAGCTTAGTGAAGAGGAAAAAAATATAGCCACTCAAGATTCTACATCACATGAAACTTCTGAAACACGTAATTATTTTTTTTATTTTTATATTAAATCTATAAGGGCAACTATTCATTAACATGATTTATTTCAGCTCCTGAACGAATCAGACGATTGCGGAACAGAAAAACAATCACCATGGTGTAATGGAATATTTTTTAATTATAGGACATGTATATACGTAGTACAAAAGTTTTAATCTCAACATACATTTTTATACATTAACAATTAACATTATTCACATGTTATAGTGCCTTTTACACACTATCACGTTATTCTAAATTTAAGAGTTATTTGAAATTGTGAATTCAGATAATCTATTTTTCATAATTGTTGGACACGCATGAATAGTTTGTGTCGGAACAAGCGTTTGTTCCTGGTAACATACTTTTATTTATTGTAAAATGTTCTGGTACGTGTATTCTAATAATAAAAAAAATTCTATGACCCGCTTTTTGATAAGTCTTGTTCGATACATCTCGAAAACGGATGCATTTTTGGTCCGTTTAAAACCGGATGTTCCTTTAATTTAGGTTTGACTTCTCTGTCTTGGAAGTTTCATTCCCGAAACAACCCAAGCTGCGCTGTATGTGCACCTAAATAACGGCTAAATTCGAATTAAATAATTATACATATTTTGCAATAGTGCATACAAACATTAATATTGCAATCAAAATAAATACATAAACATAAAAAATAAAGATGGGGAGGGAAAACAAGACTAACAATTCATCACCAGTTATAAACACCTGTGTATGACAGAATGATCACGTAGTTCGTTTCAAAATTAGCTGCAAACAAAAAAATGTTCCATAATAATGTCAATAATATTGATTTCCCCACAACATCCATAATTATTACAAATGTCAATATAACGAAATATCTTTTATGCGATGTTTGTGTAATAAAAATCTGTGTTTCGATTACGTTTTTGATATATATTACTCACTTATATGTAATAATATAGAATAAAAATATACTATTTGTCCGATATTTGAAAATATACATACGTTCGTTGTCACTGTTAAACTGTTGTAATAACAATGGAATAATAAAATAATTTACTCAAATGTACATAATAATACATATACATATTCATAAAAACAATATTAAACGCAATAACTTTTTTGTACACAAAAAAAAACCAATAGGTCCGTCGGGACTCAAACCCAAGACTCCTTTCTAATACGTCTACAGCGAAATTCATTGGTTCGTGGTCACATTTGGCATCCCTAGTGACAACAATGAACCTGATGGCAACCCTGTATATAAATAGTATTAAACGGACAAACTTATCAAATGGTATCAAACAGTATCAAACTTAAACTCCTTATCAGTAACGTGTGTTCCTTTAGCTGGAAGATAGTGAAAAAGCAAATAGCTGATTTGTATTAAATTGCTTTTGAAATGGCTAAATACAAGATTAAGGTAGAATAATTTTCTATAATATAATTTAAAAAATTATACATTTTTGATTTATATTCAAGAAACATTATATAAATTAAATATATTTTTCTTGCTTTTCTTATGCACTTCGTGAAATCCTATACATGATAAGAGATTTATTTACATGTAAAATAATAGTACTTCGTGTTTTTATACAGACCAAAAGTACTTGAATCATCATACCACTAACAGGTGGTTCATGACTTTTTCAATTTAAAATGTCTGTTTCTTCGTGTAACTTTATCTAATTGAAATTTATAGATTGGAATAATCGGTGGTTCTGGTTTGGACGATCCCCACAACCAAGTCGTCACTTCTCTCACAGCGACTGCTAGAGAGGAGGCAAAAAACGATTTTGGATTGCCTTCTGGCGATCTTTATCAAGGCAATATCAATGGTGTAGACGTGGTACTGTTATCAAGGTAAATACTCTATTTCTGAAAACAAATATATTCCAGAACTTCAAACAGTATGACTACTGTTTTTAATATTTCTATTTTGAATTTCTGTTAAAATTTCGAGAATTTTTCTGTAATGATTTTTCAATGATAATAGACATGGACCAGGTCATAGGCTAAGCCCCACTGCAGTTAATTATCGTGCAAACATTGAAGCCTTACGATTAGTTGGATGCACTCACATACTTGCATCTGCAGCATGTGGTTCTTTACAAGAGTCTATATGTAGGGGACAGTTACTTGTTCCAGATGGTTTCATAGATAGAACAATAAGCAGAATTGCAACTTTCTATGATGGCACATCATCCAAATATTCAGGTGGTTTTTACTTTTTACATAATTATTAGACCATAAATTTTCTGCATTTATAGTTTATATGATTGTTTAAGTCACAGTGTAACAGTATGTTTAATAAGCTACAATGAGATTCATATTTTATTTGTAACTTAATAGAACTTTCAGTAAGACAAACAAATTATTCTCTAATTCTAGTTCTTACAAATTAGTGCATAAAAATCGATTTTCATACAAACATCCATAGTCTAGTTATTATAATAGCATGATATGGATTACGTATTAACAGTAGTTGTATGATATACAATTACAGGAGTGTGTCATATGCCAATGGAACCAGCTTTTGATCCAGAGACATCACAAATATTATTCGAAGTTGGTACAAAACTAGGATACAATATTAAGAAGGGGGGAACAATTGTAGCTATAGAAGGACCACGTTTCTCCTCAAAAGCTGAAAGTAATATGTTACGTCTTTGGGGAGGAGATCTAGTTGGCATGACTACATGTCCAGAAGTATTTTTAAAAATTTTATATTATTAACATGTATTGTTAAGTGGCATTGTAACATTTGAACAAAATTTTAAATTAGGTATACCTGGCTAAAGAAGCAGGCCTTTTGTATGCAGTTATTGCTATGGCAACAGATTACGATTGTTGGCGAGGCAGTGAAGATACTGTTCATGCAGCAGATGTAATAGCTGTATTTAAGCAAAATGTCAATAAAGTAACGAATTTACTTGTAAAAGCAATTGAACTTATTGGAGAAAGAAACTGGGATAAAGAGATTGATGACTTACAGGTAACATATAATCTTTACTAGAATAGCACAAATATATGTCTGTTAAATTAAACACTGCTCTTTGTATTTCAGAAACTATGTACAAGTAGTAACGTATCAAGTAGTACATGTAGTATAAGTAATACAAGTAGTACAGTGTGTAATAAATGAACAGTTTTGCTGAAAAACAAGAACTTAAATTTTTGCACTTTTAATTTGAATGTGTGTAAGATATATATATATTTAATAAATGAAACAACATTGAAACTTGATTTTATTATTTAATACTATTTATCTATACAACTAATAAAAGCAAGTTGGTTGAGTGATCATTTTTGTTTAACGTATCTACAAGCTGTAACGGTGTTGTATTTTAATCACATGTAAGAATTCATTTATTCATGGATTCAGTACATTTATCATTCGGCTAGTATTGTCATCGCTACAACTGAAATATGATATTATAATTGATTTTAAGGTATATAAAATAATACATTTTTCAGAATTATCAGTATGATACATATAACGTTTTCTTTAAACACATATAATATGTTCATCACATAACACATAGGAAAATCTATTCTTTTGTACAAATTTCAATTAGATACGATAAAACTTTGTGTCTATGTTAACAATTTATCGTCAACAATTCAATAATTTACATTTTAGAATATAGGTGTGTTCCGAAGCACCAATCTGGGCAATTGTTTCAAACAAGAACTCTATAGGGAATAATTTTTTTTTTTGTAAATTAAAATTAATGTGCATAATCAGGGATAATAATTTATCATACCTGCAGACCGTTTTATTTCTAAAACGTATATACAGATTGCAACTGAATGTATCGAAATGTACGCTTTAATTTATGCCCATCAATTGAAGTATCATTTTTCGCGAAACAAGGGTAATGATACTTTCTATACATAAAGCATTTACAATACAACCTGCTCAAACATTCAATATATCCTGAAATGATTCTTCATAATTTCACTTCTTTTTGTGCTGCCTTCAAATCAACGTCTACTACTTCAAATTAATTTATCATATTCAAGTTTACAATATTATTGATTCACACTAACAATAATACTTCAACATTTAACTAAAATTTTAATGGTATGTATGCGTATATAACATCATATTAAAACAATAAATTTGAACGTATTTTAATAAATAAAATTTCTTGTATCGATTCATTCAAATACGTGGAGAGTACTTATTTTACTAGTTGCCTCGTAACACGCGTAACATGAAGACTTATTGAATGAAGGCGGTTCAAGCATCATTTTGTTCAATTGCATGTTTTATATATATGTTTTTCTATAACAAGATGTACTTTTCCGTTTATAACAATATTCACAATGTTCTTACTTTTATAGATAATACATAAAATAATACAGTTATACATTGCAGAATCTCTATTCTGGCATGATACTCATCTTTTTTTTCTTGTTGTAATACCATGTACAAATAGGTTGTGCTATATTTAATTGTGAAAGGTTTCATAAATTAATCGATACAGGTATTACAAGGAATATGCGATTTCTGTGACTGCAACAACAAAACTTATTAGCTCTCTCTTAGTTGCGAGGTCAAAGCAGAGACAGTAGTCACAGTTTGAATTGAATTTGTACTAATGTTCGTTAGCCGATCAAATACAATCCATTTGAACAGAAAAGGATGTTCTTAATATAGATTCAGATATTTTTGTTGGAACTCATACAAGTGATTGCACAATCTATTATGCATAGTTTACATTCAGTTAATATCATAGTTCATACATCTCTCTCCAGGCATTTCGGTGTACTATAAAAATATCATTTCTTTTCGATAAATATTTGATCTACTCCTGCAAGTGAACCGATGACAGTTACGATTACAATGAAAATCAAGATTGCCACGAAGTTCTAAATATGTAAACCATATTTCATACAAACAAAAGAAAACAAAGACAGTACATTTTGTACGCACCTGTGGTTAAGTACCTGGAGTTATAGAAGTATGTTATATAAACAAGAAAATATTTAAAATATAGTAGGAGAATGGGTTCACCATCGGTGATTAAACCTTACTGTCGACCATGTCTACGTTGATTTTATAATACACATAGGGGAAGTAGTCATTTTGGCCAAAACCTAATCCAGGTATATCCACGCTCTGCTTGAACATATTAGCATAATAAGAATATCAGTTAATTTGGAAGATATTTATATGGAAGGAGAACTGTATTCAACCTCTTGCCATACAAGTTTTTTTACGACTTCACTCTCAAGAATTACTGTAACGTTAATATTTTCAAAGAAAACGAATAATATGCATGTTCACTAAATTCAGTTTGAAATCGTTATCACGTATCTGACTCGATGTTGTAAGGCAAGGGGTTAATGATAGTAATAAGTAGATTGCGGATTTTTATGCGAAATGACATTTTCTAAACTAATTCATAAAGACAAGAGTAAACGTAAGAATTTCTGACTTCTTTTAAGCATTGTATTAGACTGAAAATCATACAAAAAAACCCATTGCATCTGATGGAAGTTTTGTCTTCTCCTGTATTTCACAGAGCCCTATAGGCTACAAATGCATAAAATCCGCAGTCTAGTAATAAGGATATTATTGCGTGGAACGTACATCTTGATTTCCTTGTGGAGCAGCACCAGCTGTAGCAGAGGAATCTAGATGAGCATAAAGCTGATTGAGGACATCACGTAATCGTCTTGCACATTTTTTATGCGGATGCAAGAGAATCGCTTGAAAATTTACAGGTAGGCCGTACCTGTTAAATTGTCAGTATATGTATGCATGGAAATTTTATGTCTTCCGATATTAAAGGAAACGTTACCTTAGAACAGATTCCACAAATACACGCAATGCTTTAACATGAATCCATGCACAAAAACATTCACTAAAATTGACCTTCAGTCTACAATATATTTCGATTAATTCTGTGATTATAAGTAACATACAATCTAATACAAAATTTGTCTGTTATAATGTAATGAAATGCCTAAATTATGGTATATTATTAAAAATATAAGAATGTATATCAAAGTGTCTGTTACCTGCTGCTAATTCTTCTTCATTGTACGTGAAATCACGAACAATGAACTTTTTCTCGCGGGCATGTAATTTAAATTCTTCCATAACTTTCTTGAACAGGGTGACGGTGAATAAACCGTACTCAGAATCCTGAGTAATAAGTTGTGTACTACGTGGTACTATCATAGCTGTTAACTTCTCGTATCCACTGTACCAATCCTGAAAGTTTGTTCTAAAATGTGCGTATACGAAAATGCGTTAGTGAATGTTGACAATACAGTAAGTATATATCGTAGAAAAATTTAACCGATATACCTTGGCACAATTACGAGTAATGTGGTTAAGTATTCGCTGTCTAAGATGAAGTGTTCCTTTTTAACTAAGTCAGCCAAATTTCTTGTTAATAAACTTCCCCTGTATAATAGTAATTATTCATGATTACAATGCGAATAAAAATTGAATTAAAAGGAGAAACACAAACGAATGAAATGTTGGACAGCAACGATTAGCAATAATATGAATGTTATTGTAGCAAAATATCATAACACTGAACTACTTTTGGATAAATGTTTTCACGCACTTACGTTTGTTTCTTTTCAAGATTTTGTAAACTGCCCTTTAAATTATTATATGTTGTAGATTTAGTTTTGAGATCTGCATCGATTTGACCCACTTGTTTACTGATAATATCGGCGATATTTCTCAGCGATTGTTTGATAGGATACTTCGCCATATCCCACTGGAATCGAGTTATATATGATGGAAGATCACCTAGTAAATTTAAAATGTTAGAGTAATCGTCACGTGGAGCAACGTTTTTCATTTTCTATAACATATTCAAACAGAGCTTGCAAAATTCTGAACATATGGAGTCAAAAAGTAACATGCAATGTTTAAATCACATGTAATACTAAGTGCTTGACTGTGCTTACGAATGCAGTATATAATATATATTTTTATATGATTTGAGAATTTAGAAGCTGAAAATGACAAAGCTCTGTTGAATCGTAAAGTGTATTGTACAAACACGTGAATGAATTGTATGTATTTACATATAATTTCTACACAAAATAGTGAAACTTGTGTCGCTTAGTGAAAGTACATAAGTAATATTCACCTAACTGTGTTATTACATTAGTGATCACAATTTTGCGTTTCTTTTTTACACGTGTGTGTACAATACATTTATGCATATGAGTATGTAATCTAATTAAACTAATCTTAACTCGCTTAAAATTAAAACAATTCTCAGACTGACTCTGTGATAAGGAGAGTATTGACAACAATAAGATAACAGAGAAAGACTGTATCTACAAAAATCATTTCTCTTGATACTAGTACGCTCCTTACTAATGATTAGCATTACAAAAATAAGCGAGACATTAACGAAGTACAGCATGCAAAACATTAATGTATAGAAGCATTATATGTTGTCAATGCATTGTTTCTTATTACGAGAATCGTTTCATTTGAATAAAACTATTTTTCTGACGGTTAATATTCTTTTGCAAAGATCTGTTCGAATTAACTCCTTTAATTTGCTTGAAAATACACGATGATTAGAATAATTCGTAAATCATGTTTGAATGAATGAAATATGCGTAACGTTCCAGTTAGTCCCATTAACAATTATTTATTATTTAACAAGAAACTGTGTACTCTCGTATGTTATTAATATGACAAAAGAGTTGTACCTTATGAAATATTCATTCAAACAAAATTTATGATAATCCTCTACCTATTATAGTATAAACTTTCACATATTACAGTATTGACTTTCTTAATAAAGCTGTTAATTTGTAATATCTTAGAATGAACAAGCACGCACGCACCCATGCACGTATATACGCACATACACTTGTTTTATCAGAGTTATAAATATAAATGAATACCATAGAATATAGTGACCACAGAGATTGTGTACGAATATTTAGTATATATTTTGAATTTTATTTTTTATCTTGTACATATTAGTGACCTAAATAATGTACTTGTATCATGATAATAACATAAACACAGAGTATGCAGCTAAGCCAAGATACCTAAGCATTTCATGCCAACTGTTTATGAAGTACTTTATTAAAGTTGATCAGTAGGATGTATTCTGTGAAATGGGTAACTTGTAGTGTTGAAGGGTATTGAGCACCATACTGTCTGCAAAATCTATATCTGATCATGCGAAATAGTATTCTTATAAGTCCATGTACCGATCGATAAGTGTTTGAAAATTTTCGCTTTTTTTTTGTTAATCGTGTCTCTTCTGTAAACTGTGCTAGCGTCCATAATACATATGTTGTACATGTATTACAGTTTGTGCAGTATTGTCCTTCTATGAAAAATTATAGAAAGTAATGGTTAAAAAGCAATGTGAAAGCTAGGTATTGGGAGAATGCGAAAAAATATACTGAAAAGAAACGAAATCATTATAAGATAATGTTGCTATTTTCAAATTGTAGCACATCTCTTAGAACCGTTCTTAAACCATACTTTCGTTAATATATTTGTAATTAAAATGATCATTTGACACCCACACACAATTGTGATTATTTAATTGTATACTTTGAGTCTAACTACATTTAATCTAAATCACTGAAGTAAATGAACATAATGTTGAAATAATTATATTTGAAGAACTTGCTGTATTAAAGTATTTTAATTGTATTGAACAATTCTGTCAATGATTACCAACAGATTCGAAATTTGTTTAAACATGTATCTTTTGAAAGTAACATACTGAAACAAGTGTACAAATAGGAAAACTGAAGTAGAGTATGGTATAAGAAAATGTAAAGTAAAAAAATGATATCGAAAAGCCATTGAAATATTATAAAAAAAAAGGGGGGGGAGGAGTTGACAATGAGCAAGGTAATTCTCTATGTGTTCATTCATTCGTCCACATCACCTGGAACAATTGATTGAACGATATTCAAAAAATGTTAATCGAATCGTGGCCCTTTGTCATCATCAGAAGAGTAGATTTTTGAAGAAAGAAAAAAATCAAAATCGACCAATTCCTTAATGTAATTCATAGAAAACTTTGTGAAGTATTTTTATTCACGAAGAGGACGCAGGAGTAAAAAAGAAACTAGCTAAGAACTGAAAACATACTAGAGAGCATTTCACGGAAGAAATACAACTTTCTAACTGTACGCACAATTTGCTGCAATTCAAATGTGCTAGAAACATGGGCAGCTGTCTTTGTTATCGTCCGATATATTAATTCCTGCGTGCACAAGAAATTAAATGTTGTTGTAATATCATTGAGGAAATCATTGCGATACAACGTGAAAATCTTTGACATACTTAGGGTATATGTATTTTATTTTGAATCGCAAGCTGAATAAACTAAACCAAGTATATCTTTCCTTTTAGTACTGTCTCACTTTGTGTATGCTGTAAGCATTGGAGAGAGATTGTCATGACTTTTGTAAAGTGTCCTTTTTCTCTTTTCAAATATATTTATATATGTGTGTGTATAAATATTATTTACAAATATATAAGACGTATACTTAGTCATCGATACAAAACAAGTTGTGTCTTTCGAACAATGCAAATTTAATCACAAAAAGTGTGGAAAAGTTACAGTAATAAAACGAAAAATAATATGTATAAGAAGCAATGCTTTCTTATTCGACACAGCACATTACACGGAAAGAATACCCCGAATGGTCTGTCACATTGGAGGCAAGTCTCTGCAGAAAATATATTTCAGCGTTACAAACATTGCGTATATGTAGTGCAGCTGTGCAAAGTCGACACTGAAGGAAATGCGCACTAGGATCATAAAGATACTTTTATTATAATATATATAGTGACTTTATAGAATTGGATTGTAAGTATAATATAAAATTTAAGTAATCCGTTATTTTTCCTCGTTCTCTTCCCTAACGAAAAAGCTGCATGCGAAGATCACCCCGTTTAAAAACTCAAATACCATGAAATGACAACCTCTCTCTCTTTCTTTCTTTCTCTCTCTCTTCCTTTCTCTCCTATATATCTACCTCCAAAGGAGATCAGACAAGACAAGAATCGGTCGGCTAAAAAACGGGCGAATCACGAGGTGGTGCATAAGGAGAAAAAAGTAGGTTTTGAACAAGTCTCGCAGCTATGTATTTTGGGGGATAAAGGTTCGACGGGTTGACCTGGCGGTGGTAGGACGGGTACCTGGATTGGGCAAATTGCCGCTATGGTCTTGGTCTTGGTCGTGGTCGCTGTTTTGGTCCGCATCGTCTTCGTCGTCGTTGTCGTTCCCGAGCGATTTGCGATTGGACGTGGATCGTTCCGCTTTCTCGGTAGTCCGGTGCCGCGTCGCCGACTGCCATCTGGTCTCTCCTTCACTGCTACAGTTTGATGAAAGGGACAGGCTCGGGCTCGTTCGGGTGGGACTGGGAATCGGTGTGGAAGAGGTTGAAGCGGCGCACCAATGCGCATGGTAGCATGAATATACTGACAGAGGATCGTTCGACGACCGGGCATCGCAGATCCCTTGGGGACTGTGCGACGATCTCTTGTCGGGATCGGAAGGATGATTATGATGTTTATGACTATGATGATGCTCGTGATGGTGATGATGATGACGCTGGTGGTGGTGATGATGCTGACCTAAACAGGCGGCCGGTTCTGGTTCGCATTTCTCCGAATCCTTCCACTGCTTGTGGTGCTCCTTCGATGTCTTGTGTGATGGAGTGACGGGGGTGTTTGGCGGGGTGTCCGGACCCCCTTCGGGGCTCGAGCTCTCCCCATCCATTGACGTTTGACCTATCCATTACAGCCCAGTCCCAATCTCCGCGCGATTTTTCATACGTCTCGTTCAACTATTTATTGCGTCCTACGCAAATGCCTAACGACAATGCTGTCGAAACTCAATCAAAAGAACTCAAAGAAAATGGAAAAAGAAAAGAAAAAAACAACACGGAGTATTTAGCGCATGAGGACCTATATAATGTATATATATATATCCTAATATGTGAAGATATATGGCAGTGATACTAAATCTTTTACAATCTTTGACAGACAATGCTTCTTGTGAACAAATTTCAATGAATATTACCAATACTAATACTATAATTGCATTTATTACGTATAAGTACTCTATTATAATATTAGATCGTTTATTAAAGAGAAGTAAGTTATATATATATATACGAATAACTATAGTCATATACGTTATGGACCTCATAATTATTGTGACTGAAATATCAATATACAATACTAATGTCTTCCATTTCTCTTTGTACGAAAATTAGAGCAATACTGTTAAATGAACTACTCGTTAAATACTCCGATTGCGGCCCAAGCAAAAAGAAAATGTAACGAAACGATTGGAAAGTAGTATAAAACAATAGATAATTAAGAAAAACAAAAAGAAAAGTAAATGAAGACAGTATGAGCAAATGATATGCAATGATTGAAACTTAAACTGCAAATGATCAATAATATCAAAGGGGAAATAATATATATATATATATATAAACGAATTTAAAAAGAAAAGGAAAGAATTCTTGTAATAACTAATTGGAGCTTGGTGACCACAGTAACCCAAGCAACTCCTTGCGTCCTTTGTAAATTTTTTTATGTAACAAGTGTGGTCTATGTGTTCAGATTATTACCGTGTATAAGTTTATAGAAATTATTCCTCTATCTCAGCACGCAGTACTGCATGTTCATGTCTTAAAATCTTTTTGTAGCATTATACAACATCTTTGATGGTGCACATGTATGAGCATTTGTTAATAAAATAATAAGTAAGGTAGGGAAACAGGGTTAATGTGGTCCAAATTAAACAAAGCAAGCCAAGCAACACCACAAATATGAAAACTTATTCGTAATAAGTAATAAATGAAATGACTTCTAACCCAATTAGAATAATAAGCATTCTACAAATATATAAATTATATGGCAGAATATGATGTGTACCATCATTTTATCTCATTTTGAAGCATTTTCAATATGCAAGCTATACAGAAAATTAGAAACGTTATATATTGTACCCGATAATTTGAATTTAGTTAATATGAATTGACTGAATTCAGTTTGTATATGTATATTACATGAATCGTTACAATTTAAATAATTATTTTAACTTTTCTCTGTGTACAATAATTGTCTTTCATTAATAAACTACACTTTGATATTGTTAAAAATTCTATTATAAATAATAATCTTTAAATAGATATTGTAATAAGTGAAAATTTATTGAATTATGCATTTTCTAATACATTCAATACAGTTAATAACAAAAAGCATTGAATGCAATTAATTCTCTTGTTATATTGCATGCACAAGTTGTTTTTTATTTTGAGACTCATGGTGCACATCATATTTATGAATGTTAGTTACTATGTGCTATAGCGACAGGTATTTTGCCTGTATATTATCCTCAATAAAAAGGAAAATAGAACATATGTCCATTCAGACAAATTTATGTAAAATAATACTTTCTTTGTAGTATACTTAACGTACACAGACAAAATTTTCGATTACATCTATCAATCTATTAATGTAGGGTATTGAGGAGAATAAGGATCAAAGACTCTAAAGTTGTGCTATAGTTATTTTCAATGATTAAATGAAAAATCTTAATAAATCAACTGATACATGTTTAAGAGATTATCATTAAAGAAAAATTCTAAACAGTGTGTATGTTTTGTGTTGTGTATAGTATTCATTGATGTTTCTTTTGCCAACCAATATTATTTTTTATCATAACATCATACACAAAAAATCGATCGATACCTGTCTGCAAGGGTCCAAAAAAACAATGCTTCGAATCAATATTTTATACAATTTATATTCAGTAGTTGCATTCAGTAAAATATAATATAATTAACGAAAAAAAAAACTGTTAAATAATTTTGGACCCCTGAATATTTATTAAACCAATCCTCTTCTATTAGAGAATAGATGTAAATATAAATTAAAGAGCAAGTTCTAAAGTTACAAGCACAACATTATTGTACTCACTATTGTTGGCCAATAGATTCTCGTGAAGCTTGTCTCTCTGATCTTCTAAGACTTCTCCCATGTATGTTGCAACCTTGCGTGTAACTTGTTCTACATAGGCATCAAGCTTTCCCAAATCGTCTGATAAACCAACTAGTTGATCCAACGTTCCAACTTTTAAGTCTGGGATATGAAATTTGTAGTTGACAGACAAAGAATGTTGTTTGGATGTTAAATTGTTCATAGTATCCCATGTCTGCTGACATGTTTCATCTCCTGGTGCAGATATCAACCAATACTCCGTCATTTTTAACAATGCTTTTAAGCAAGTATCCTAGTATTTCTGAAACATTGGATTTTATTTCATAAATCATACTTAGCATAAAAAATGATAATACACAAATGTACTTTAAAAGTCATAGGACAAATGATAAAATTTACATATCTTTCCACTGTATTTATATTAAAAGTTAAGATAATATAAAGTCATAAGTTATACAATATACAAATGGATATTTTAAAAGAATTTTAAATTTAACAATTACATACACTGTTTCATGGTTTTTTCCGCAGGTGTTTTTTAACAGATGGATGCACGATTAAGTTTATTTTATATGCACAACATTAGGTACACAATTCTCTGAAAGTATTTGAGTTAAAAATTTGAAATTTCTACCACATATTCATAACATATTTATGTATAAAGTAGATTTACAAGAACACTTGTGGTTTTGGTACTTTTTGTACGAAAAATTAGTAATATTTATGACAAAAAAATCTAATTTTTAAATAATCTAATTAATTTATAAAAGAGTAACAAAAACTATGTAAAATGTAAACTTTAGGTGCAACAATAAGAATTGCGAATTAAATATAAAAGTTGGTCTTGGTTGTTTTCTATCCTTATCAGTGTATTATATATATTTTTTAAGCAGTTTGATAATAATTTTCAAAAGAGAAAATTGTTTTTCAAAGTAAACTGTAGTCTCGTCAACAACCACCTGCTTCACCTTCAATCAATGTTAGTCTATTGATCTGATATGCAACTATATGATCCTAGGGGCATTATTCATTGAATCGTTGGCCATCCCTAGATAAACTAATCAATATTATGTAAGATTCAGGGTCCAGATGGATTTTTCAAAAATCTATTCACTTATTAAAGTCAAATAAAATAAGGGGGTGTGGCACACCGTGTTCCCTCGACTACGGTATTATGTAATTAGGCGCGCTTTCCACGTGACATGTAAGAAGTGCGAGAATGGCGCGCTGAACTTGCATAGTGATCAATATAGGGAAGTGACAAGTGTGCATGAAATTGCATACGAAAACGAATGCCCTTGAATTCTCGTTGGCCATACGAGGGCATTGCTACCAAAGTCGAGCTTATTGTCGAAAACGACCTAATGGCGCCTGCTAATAAATTGCTGGCAAAATCGATAACACGGTGCTCCTCCTTTGAAATGCGTCACGCATTCGGTTTCGAATTATATACGGATGGCTAATGTCACTCGACACGATCAGCTGTTGTGTAAAACATTGAAGAGAAATATTCGTCTACAATGTTTGACAGAAACTTTCAACACCCTACAGTCGCAAACACGAAACAATGATTCTTTAATTTTGACTAAGAAAAAAATTTCTTCCGTTTCGATTTCTTCAGGAATAAGAGAAAATTAACAGTTCTCCACTTACCAGATATCTCGTATTGCACCCTCGCACGAAGAACACTGCAGATGCTTGAATTCCTTCGGGAAATTCAAAACATTCGCTGTTCTAATCACTCGTCGCCGAAACCATCAGAAACCATTGTGACCTCACGTGATGACAATTGTGTGCTGCTGCCTTACGACCCGCCCGGCAACTAACAGCAACTAAAACATACACTGAAACAAACCATCGTCAGCTGACTCCCGGGATCCCGTCTGCAACGATCACAACTGTTGCCAATACTCTCTCATACTTTCGTTTCTAACTTTCCAAATCAACACAGTAAATTATGAATCATTAATATTTCATTAATTATTCACTCTATATGTAATGTAAAAACTCATCGTTAAAAGTTACATATTTTTTAAATATCTAATAAAGTTATGATTTTCACCGAGTTTGATTGTAAAAGATAAGTTGGTAATACTGACTGACCTTCATTTCAGTGGATATGGCGTTCACCATGCGTTCACTTTAAAGATAAACTCCATATAACATAATGGCGTCTCGACTAGTCGTATTCTTAATGGATGTCTGCTATTGGTTCACTTTGTACTACACAGGAGCGATACATATTATTACAAACCCGAATTTAAAGCTCCTTAAAAATGCTGTCTTATTGTTATGAGAATCTCATTTCACTCTATAGTATTCTTTACTAATATCCTCCCTCTAAACTGTCTAATCTGTAAACTATTTAAATTTAATACCAATGATGAACGTTGTATTGCTACGAGACAAGACATTTTTGTATTTCTTTTGTCATTTATTGTAGACTCGCTAGTATGTTTAGCATTTTGGCCATTTTGGCGAAATATATTAAATGCAGGTGATCCTTAACTTACTTTCCGAAGTGGCTATATGTAAATATATGTAGCAGTTTTTGAGTAAAAACTTTGAGCAGCCTGTCAACAGAACAGTTTTATCATAGGATTTATAGTTTTTTTATGAAAGAAACACTTTAAAATTACCTTTGATATAAATTATTTTATTCTTAAATAATATGTAATACACAAGATCATAACACAAAATCAAGCATAGAGCATTATATTATATTTCAATATAACAGCTTGACAACTTGTCACTTTTACTTATTTATGACAGTAGTAGAATTTTCTACAAATAAAATATTACTTACTTTATTATTTCTTTTCATGTCATCTGACCTTAATCGATTTTTCTGAAGCTACAAATTATTCAAAAAAGAATTTCGTATCTTATCGCTTATTATAATATAAAAGTACAGTATTACCAAGAAACTTTAACAACACAAGTGACTTTCACGACTCAGTGTCTATTCTTCATCAAAAAACATAGCGCTCAAATCTTCGAAATTTCCGCTTTCTTGGTTGTTGGAAATTTCACTTTTTATCTGTTGATAGGCTATAGTAAATCCTCTTCCTGTGCTGACTTTCCTCGCTTCTCCAAAGGTAGCCGCTATTTTAGAATTTACACGTATGTTTTTCCCTTTACCCAAAGTCTGATGAAGAGTATTGTTTTGAATTTTTGGTTCTAGGGGTTTTTTTTCAGCTTTAATGTTATTATGTATCACTTTTATTTCTTTACTGGCGTTTTTCTTTCCATTTTGCAAGGTACCATTACTCTTCTCATCGAATGTATTATTTGCACTACTTTCCTGAGAACCTTTTTGTAAAGTATTATTATTATTCTCCAAAGAAACTTCTTTTAATTTGGAAACTAGATTGTCAATGTAAGATTTGTTATGAACTTTGTTCAAGTTCTGGTTATAAGACATTGCTTTGGCAGCTTTTTTAGGGACTCGTAATGGTGCTTCTAAGTCCTGTAAAAATGTGAAATGTGTATTTTACAATTTCAGAATAGACAAATTTATAAATTAAGAGAAATTAAATCATTCGTTTGTAAATAAAATGAAACAAATGTACATAAAGTAATTTTATGAGAAAGTTACTTGCTGAAACAATAGCAAAATATCTCAATACACTTACTGGTTGTTTTTGTACAAAGCTATTTTTGTGAATGCTAGTTTTACTTTGGTTCTTTTCTAGTTTAGCTATTCTGTCTCTCTCAGAATGTTTGAATTGTTTCTTCTTAGCTTTTGATAAGCCTACTGCTGTCCTTACTACATTTTTAGTTTCGGAGGCGACCAATGGATTATATGTTGGATTACTCTGAAAAATGTAATTACATGTATTAAATATTTTATCCTGCTACCAAAAAAAAGAAAGATCTTATCCTTTTATTGAGCTTTATAATAACTGAAGTTAAATAAACACTTAAATACTTGTAATATCCTTCAAGAATACATACTAATAAAGTAAAACAATTGTTTGATTACATACTCCACACCAATCTTCATCATCAAGTGTATTTGTCTGCTGATTACATGCATCTTTTAGAGACACTGTTCCTTTGCTTATTTCTGGTTCAAATGAATTCTCATAACATCTTACATTTCCACTTGTTGGGCATATTGAAAGATGATGCTACAAGAATAATAATTAATATTAACATTAAAAACTAAAACTTTCAATGTTAATATAGTAAATATAAACATATTATGTAGAACATACCTCGTATTCTTCTGGGTCTATCATATGTACAGTATCAAAGGGACACATAACTTTAGCATCTTTTGGATAATTTTTACGGCATTTGACCAAGTGTGTTTGAATTCTTCCATCAATAATGTGATGAGATTTGTCAAAAGGACAAATAGTGTAGGGTCCAAAAGCTGCCATTTTTCTGAAAAAGAAATGTTCATTATACTGTGAAACAATATATTAAATGCATAAGCATTCTTTATGATCTCTATGATATGATCTGATGATCCCAAAGAAATGATTTTACATACAAACACAAATTGTAAACTAAGGTACACGAGTTTTCAACTAAGCATTAAAAGCATTTTGAGTTCAGGGTTAAAATCTTTTTAAACTCCTCACTCTATATATGTTTTACACATTACCTATATTATAAATGATATCACAAATCAGATATCATAATTGTATGTAAAGGTTATTTTATAAAAAAATAACAACCACCTGCTATATTACTTTCATGTGTGAAATATTAATATTATAATTTTAACTAATTATTAAACTGATGACTTTAATATTTCTATAAACATATTTATATATGTATTCCAAAACCTATGTACGTATTAGTATCACCTGCCGTACGTACAATAATAATAATAAATATAATTCTTAAAATGATAATGAATATAATGAACTGTAATTATTCAATTGTTTCTAATTGTTGTTTTCCTTCTACAATTTTTATTCATTTATTAATTACTGTATATTTACGTATTAAACGATCTAGATCTTGCAAAACAGTTTTAAACACTACCTCAATGCAGTGATGCCAGGACGTGGGATTTTTCCCACGCATGCGCACTACCTAATCCTCAGTAACGTATATACTTCACTCAAATATGGGGTATCGTTAGACCCCCGTGACAATTGAAATACGGTAGAAATTACAGGAAGAGGATATTTTTAAAAGAAATAACATATTTACATGGAAATAAATGAATATATATTTTTTTATTATTTTGTACATCTGCAGCCGATTTATTACATGAATACAAACATTTGTTGCGAGAGTAAGAAAAACTGCAGAAAACCTTACTAGTATTCAAACAAGAACATTATATATAAAACATATAGTCGTGCTTTCATCAATTAATATTGAAAATTTCTGAATTTTTAATTCTGTAATAAGCTTATCGCTTTCGCGTTTGCCTATTACATTTTTTATTATCTGCGTACATTTAGTTCGTGACAATTTTAGATCCTTAACCACCTGCGGATCTGAACAGGTTTCCTTTAATAAAGGGACCATGTGATTAATTGTTTGAAAAGCTATATTGTGCTCCGCGTAAAACGTAGCTAACTTTATTTCGGCTGTTTTGACTTTATTAACATGGTCCAAATCAGAATTACTATCAACTTTTGGTAATAAAACAGATGGTGTGATATCACAGCTTTTGCTTGTATTTTTAATATGTAATTGAGTCCGCGAATGTCTAATAAGTTCTGATTTTCCGCATGCCAAGACTTTATTGCAAGCCGTGCAGAAAGCTTTTTTATTATTATCAGATTTTAACCAGTCTTTGAAAATATTATTCTTTAGCCAAGATAATTGGAATACTTTCCCTTTGTTACTTCTCTTCTTATCCGCCAATCCACTCGAACTAGGCTGCTGGTAATCCATCTTCTGGTTTCTGTCACTGTAATACACTAATATTGCACTACAATTCAATATATTATATAACATTACGCGACTCACCTTCACTTTAACGAAAAACGCGGGAAACAACTGGAAGGGCCCCTTACGCGTACCTACTGTTGCACATAGATACATCCATGGAAACAACCGCCGTCGAGCTGTGACGTCAGCATGCGCATGCGCACGAAGGCTCCCATGTGGGAGAAAATCCCACGTCCTGGCATCACTGCCTCAATGTCATTCATTGTAAGTATACATATACTTGCACGCTTGTACGGAAATAACTGGAAATTACTCTCACCAAAACATTAAGCAACGACTTTCAAAAAGCAAAAAACATAAAAATGTAAAAAAACTATGTTTTAAACATTTTGTTAGAATAAAAGATTATAAGTGATACTTTATTTTATGTATTGAGTGTCCTAGATTGGCAGAATATTATTTTTATTGTTATAATATTTATCCGCTTTGAAAACGGGTTTGAAACATATTGCTAGCATGGCATGTGCAATTGGTTTAAATAATTTAATCAATCAAATTGAACAAACGATTACTTTTTATCCTAACATTTAATTATTGTTACATTTATTTATAAACCTATTAAATATAAAGATTTTCTAGTACTAAATATTATTTATAAGTTTTTCGATCTGTTCTCTAGGGATAGCTAAGATCACTATATCTTTACATTCTTACACGGTGAACTGCCTTCTCATGAGTTAAATGGGGAATTCGTGAATACTATAAATAAATCCCTGCAAAGGAATGTGTTTGCTTTCACTTTTGGATTTTTACGCTTAGCACCTTAGTTTAAATGTAAATAATAAAGGTTCAGATAAAATTACTTATATGTGTTTATGTTATAAAAGGGGTGAAATGAAAACGTCATAATTTCCTACTTGAAAAACGGAGTAAAAAGACAGTCAGAGTTCGTTGTTTTTGCGCAATCGTTACTGATCGTCACCTCCGATGTTCTCTCGACATACTGGGTATCCAATCTTTAAAACATGTAATTTCAGTTGCACCACCACTATCTCGTGAGAAAAGCACACGCCACACGCTCTCCTCGCGCAGTATGGCCCGCTCGATTCCAGTCGGTATCCGTTTGACCACGTTAGCTCAAAAAGGTTTTCGTTCATTCACAAACGAAATTGTCCGCAAATAATCCAGAATTCACCATGGATGACGAATGGGGTATGAAACGATCCATATACAAGTGTCTTGCCCGATTCATGGCCATAGTTCGATTCAAGGCGACGAAATGATTTTAACCTTCAACGTTACAGATGTCGAAAACGCTCAGGCGAAATTCGACCTCGCTATTAGATCAAACAAGTGGGAGGGCGAGGATGAAGAAGAAGACGTCAAGGTTCTGTCTTAATGATTTCCTATAATTCTTTAAATCGATTGTTTCCGAAATCTTCTTATGAAGTTGATCGTTCATACGTATGGTTAACCTTGCACAGTGTGGATCAACACGAGTCTGGCAGCACGACAGTTGATTACACAGACCAATAGAAACAATTTCATTTTCTTCACATCAGATATTTTGATCGACTTTTACAGTATTTTACATGCTGCATGCAGTGTGCTTTTGTTTTATTCCTATCGTTTATGGTTTTTAAGCAGCATAACTTTAAAATATTTAAATATCTTAATTTCTGTCCTGATAAAAAGCGTATTTAATTATTTAAAAACAAGTAGTAATCAATTTTTGTCAGTACTTTATATCACATACATCTTTTGTCAGGATTTTACAATAGTCTGTCAATATAATAGGGTTTCAGTTGCTCTAACGCCGTTTTTCACAAAAGAAGTTCGTGCAATCTAAGTTTTTGCTTAGGATTTTTTGTAACGTTTACATATAATTTCAATTGTCAGGTGAATTTGAGAAAACCCAATAGTAAAAAAAAAAAGTTAAAACTCAACTTATGACAGTTTAGGTTTAGTGTAAAATTATAGTAAAGGAACTGAAATGTACATCAGAACTTTTGTTTATATTTAAATAAATTAATCTGTTGTTATATACAGGTTTAGTCATCTTGAATTATAGTGAAATTGAGTTGCACTCAAAGCAAACAACTTTTAAATTCAAGCTTTCATTAATATTAAATTCTATTAAAGTGATGTATTGAAAAATGGAATTGAGGGAATGATGTCATTCGCAGTAAAGATTATATGATATTAGTTCACATTTGGTCATCATACTATGTTAGGTAAATATGAAACTGTGATTATTTGAAATCAAAAAATTATAAACAAATTGAGGAGTATTCGTCTTAAGCAAGAATATAATTTACTTAAGATCAAGTTAATAAAATGTTAAACTTTTAGTTTAAACTATTTTCAGTGCATATAATGATTTTATAAAATATAAATCACTCAACAGGATAGTTGGGAAGATGTAGAAGAAGAGAAAAAAGATGAAGAAGAGAAGAAAGACGTAGAGAAACCTGCGGAAGCACCTAAAGCAAAGCCAAAGCCGAAGAAAGCTTTGGCAGAAAGAATTGAAGAACGGGAGGTATTGATATTATTCAATGTGATCCTCAGAATTTTTATCTGTTGCGGATATGTATATTATTTATTTTTTTATCTGTTATCTAATGGTTTAATGTCTACTTTTATTACTTATGCAATACTCCTATTTATCACTTTTACTGTACATTGACTTAGAAACTTAATCAATAGATTAATTTCAATAATCGTGAAATCATTTGTTTTCATTTCTCTAATATTAAATACTTTTACATATTTAGCGTGTTCAAAGATTTCAATAAATAAGTAATATATTAATGTATTTCAACCAACATCAACTATTTTCTCTTCGTTTTTATTGTAGAAAAAAGCAAGAGAGGAAGCGGAAAGGAAAGTAAAAGAAAAAGAAGAAGCATTAACACCAGAGGAGAAAAGGGCAGAACAGCTGAGACGTCAAAGGCTGCAAGAGGAGGCCGATCTACGTCTTGCCATGGAGACATTCGGTTTGTCCAACCTTGTTGATTTTTCTCATCGCAAGCCGCACAGAACCGACAGGAAATGACTGCGTTAAAAACGTTCACTTATTAACTCTTTGCGCTCCTGCTTGTATTTTAGTAACATTATCGATATCGATTTTTGATGAATTATAGAATTACATAATTACTAATACAATATTGATAAAACGAGAATATACTACCACTTTTCTTGAGTATTGAAAGTAGTTGTTCTTTGTGGAGCATTTGAAAGCGTGTATTAATTTGTTCATCTTTTAGAGATTTGATCTATTTGACTAATTCTATATGATTAATAAATAATTATATCGTGATTCTGCACAAAATTGACAAGTTGCCGAATTTATGATAAAGGAGAGTGGTATAATAAAATTTGTAAAATACAATTACAATATAAACTTAAGTATAGATTTACTGTTATTTATTTTACTCGAGTTTTATATAATTTTAATTGGAATTTATGTTTAAATATTGCATAGTGCATATAGTAAGTGAAGAATTTGGAATTCTTCTCAAAAAAAATTGCGGTAACGAAATTTTTTATCGAATCTCGTACTATCGTTTGATATTGAATTTCAAGTGTTAGGCAGTGCATTGTTTTCAATCATTGAAACTTGAAATTTTTTAAATTAAATAATTATTATAAACTTCATACTCAAATTTTCTTTATTCCGCAATTATGACTTAAAGAAATGTCTATTTCTAGCTGTTTAATGATGGATTAATAATTGGACCGCAAAGGGTTGATTCAATATTTATTGCCTGAAAACGAGTTCTTAATGGCTTAATAATTTCTTTACGCTTTGTCTTTCATGAACTAATATAGACTATGTCGATAAATGTTGAGTATTATTGGTGTAAGAATCGTAACAATTATTTTGTATGTTCAGATATTATATATATACATATATATCAATCGAGAAAATTAGAAAGTGTCTATAACGAGCATTAAATTTGCGACAATTTTTCTTGCTTTTAAATATATGGTATAAAGTATTTTTTTATGTGAATTTGAAATATAGTTATAAGAATTCTATGAATTTATAAATAGTCTTTATACGCTCAAATATTCTGCATACGTCTTAAATATTATATTACTATAAGCATTAAGACAAATTTTTGGAAATGTTTAAATTCTCTGATATTATATTTTTAAAAGTGCAGTTGTTATCGCAGTTACAGTAATTGCTTTAAACTTATCCAAACTTTCGACATTTCCAAATTATGATACACTAAAAGGATTGGTTTGATGTCAGGAACTGTACTAGAGAGAGATTGTGTATTTAAATGAGGTAATACACTCTTTAAATAAAATATGAAATTGTTACTGTGCAAGAAAATAAACATTCCTCTATCATGAAAAAACATATCAGACGTGTCTTATTTATCAACATTGATCTCCCGTACCGTTCCTGATGTGTATGTAAGATTAATGAAAGGGATTCTTGCTTTATTTAATGAATTCTACCAATTATTTACTAGATGTCTCGATAAAAGAAAGTACAGATAGAAAGGTTTCAATTAAAAATTTGTTGTTTTTACAATATAAATTTCAGCAATATAAGAAGCACATTGGCTTAAAAATAACATTGTTACTTACTGTTATTGGAGTTTAATACCTTTTTTTTAAAGAACATTAGTAATACAATAAAAAAATTAGCAATTACTTTTTAACAAAACCGTTTGTTGATTTTTTTTATTTTTTTTTTACGAAGGTGTGACCGAAGATGGTGCGTTAAGCCTGGACACAGCAGTGCCTGACACAATGGAAGAGTTCGAGCAGTATGGAAACGTACTTACGCAAAAACTGAATCAGTTTGCTAAGCATCCTGAATTCCCCCCGTTTGCAGAAGAACTTATGAAAAATATTGCTCTCAATTGTAAGTGCATTACTTCTAGATTAGATACATAGTATAAACACAGGATTAGCCAATAACTTTGACCACCTGGAATATCTGTTATTTTTAGAAATTTGAAAATAATATTATTTGCAAAACATATGGTATCGAGGGGGTCACAACAGGGTAGTAAACATTTTTTTGTGGGTGGAGAATTTTCAGATATTTCAAGTTCATATCTATTTTTTTTTTAAGTGGCATGCTATACCTTTTTTTATCCCTGGTAGACTGGCGGATGTTTAAACGATTTCAACAAACTATAGTACAAGGTCATTCGTCGTTGAATAATTTTAACCGATTTTTAATTCGTGTTCGTGTATTGTTTGCAGTATCCTCGACAAATTTGAAGAAAGTGAAAACGCTGATCGATAATCTGTTGATTGAGAAACAGAAGATCGAGAAGGGCGAGAAAGCGAAAAAGAGCAAGGGCAAGGGAAAAGCGAAACTGAATATTAAGGGTGAAAATACTCTTTTGAGTGAATATGGCGACTACGTTTACGATGATTACAAAGATTTCATGTAGCGACCTTTTCACCCCATATTCTTATTATTCCCCATCCCCTTTTCTAGTCGCCTAAATACACGCAGATGGTTATTAACATTTTTGCAGATTTTATATCCTTTATTCTCACTATATATACTCGGGGTGGATGAGATATAGTGTGGTCGTCAAATGAATTATAAGCATTTCCGGCTTACAGGCGTTGGGATAAAAGAATTGACTGAAATATGGGGTGTGAAGGGTCTTGGGCTTCACTTACGGTTTTACGATCTATCTTAAATCCTGTTTTAATTCAACTTACTTCCTATTTTAATTTAACAACAGTACACAGCTGATTGGCGAAAGAAAATTGAAAAAATATTCAGTTCAAATTTATGGTTTTGCACAGTGAATGGTATAAGCGAGAATACAACTGATTATACGAACAAAAAGAAATGAAAATTATAGAATAAACATTCTTCTCACGGATTTTTCTTTTTTTGGAAAAAAAACCGAATTTGTCTATTTAGTGGTGTATGTATTCCAGTTCTATTCGACTCGTATGTCAATTCATTACTAGTTTTATTTCTGTTGGCATTGCAAATAGTAATTAGAATTTGTACTTTTCTTAAAACAGAACGCAATGTCAATGGCGGACGCGCTTGTTAAAGGTTTAATTAACGACAACACTATGTCGTCTCCACCGACTATACATACACAAATATCTGATTTCTTTAATTCTTAATTGTTAGTTCAAGGTTGCGAAATGAAAATGTTTTCCTGTAGGATTTCTTACTATATAAATACAGATATATATACAGGGTGGCCCACATAACTCTTAACAGCTCAATATCTCGAAAACTATGCCATCGGTTTTAAAGTTCTTGGTCTTAAATTGCATAAATCTGAAAGGCCTTTCTAACTACATAAACGTGAAGTGGCCCCCTTCCCCTTTAGGGGGGGGGGGGTACCTTTATAATTTTAAATGGAACTCCCTATAAAACGTTACATATTTAGATTCTACAGGAAAAAACAAGTATTTTTCTGAAACATTTTTTTGTCAGATATTTCCATGATGAGATATAACAGTTTGAAGTTTCGACTTGTAGGTACTTACTTGAAGCGCTCGGAAATTGCGTTATTGAATTATACGCGCTTGAGTCCTTTGCTTATTCGTGAAGAAATAAAATGTTCTTGGAAAATCATGGAAATATCTGACAAAAAATGGTTCAGACAAAATACTTGTTTTTTCCTGTAGAATCTGAACATGTAACGTTTTATAGGGAGTTCCATTTAAAATTATAAAGGTACCCCCCCCTAAAGGGGAAGGGGGGCCACTTCACGTTTATGTAGTTAGAAAGGCCCTTCAGATTCATGCAATGTGAGACCAAGAACTTTAAAATCGATGGCATAGTTTTCGAGATATTGAGCTGTTAAGAGTTATGTGGGCCACCCTGTATATACACGCGTACATATTACATATACAGAGTAACGTGCATCTGAAAGATGTAAAAGTATCATAACACGAAGTGTTACACGTGCGTTTTGAATATTGATAACAGATTTCATTGGTACTCACCGATCAATGAAGGCGTCGATTAGCCTTGAGGAATATCAGTAACACTGAAAAACTCTTTGGAAAGTTTAACCACGCGTTCGCTGTATTAACGTATAAAACATTTTGTAGTTAGTTACGGAATCGTGTACGAAGATTCAAAAGTCAGGAGCGACACCGTGCAAATACGAATATATCGACAACGATCATCACAACCCGAACGTCGTGGAGTCACTGAACCCACTGAATCAATCGAGTTTGCCTAGTATTGAAGTAGTTCGGTGATCGAAGGATCTATATCCTTTCATACCTGCTTCCTGCGCATGCGTAAACAATCGTATCGATGCGAGGAACTGTATATACAGTGGTTCCTTTATAGTTTTATATATTTACATATACGGCGCGTCTGGTTTTACGACATCTTCGAATGTTTAAATAATATCTTATGAAAAAAATAATGTACTTTGCCCTGAGAATTCTTCGAAATCCTTACCTACTAATATTAAGTATAATGATCGAAGCAGTCACAAGTAATTTAATTGTACTTTATTAAGCTTTCTGTTACATATAGAATATCTCAGACGGAATGCATAGTGAAATGAAAGAATGACATGTATTTAGTTGAAAAAGTCTCTCCCGTACATGGACGAAGTTCTTTCGCTTAAATCATATTTTATTGAGTTTCTTACCTTAACAGCAGTAAAACTAAGACTCTCCTTCACTTTGCTATAACGAAGTTAATAATCTTGTTTTATGTTCTTTTTTTCTAATAAATTTTACTTGTTAATAAATCTGTTCGATTTCTTTAAAATAACATTGTATAATATATATTTTTAATATATTTCTTTAAACATCGTTAAATCTGCTTTTTTTCTATTATAGTAAATTTTTTTTTATTAGAATAGCTCGCTTCTTAGTTTTATTGCAATAATTTCTAATAATATATTTTGCGGTGATGTTAAATGGACATTGCAGTAAAACTACTATTCATTGCAATCAGTTCGTCAAAAGTGATTGCAACAAATTTATCTTTTATCTTGCAACAATATGGCACGTTTAAATGGTTTGAACTATTTAATTAGAAACATCTTGATGCTTCTCGGCTATCGGAATAATAACTTACTTAAATTATAGTGCTACTTATACTGAAATTGAAAAAAGTTTACATTAAAAAATACTTCATTTGGTAAATTGTTCAAGAATTATCAATTTTTTTTTATAAATTCTCAAAATGATTACTTGTATTTAAAAATTATGTAATTAAAATTGAAATCTTTCAGAAATATGCTAATAGTTTTGCAAGAATTAATTCTAATTATATCTATTTATTAATCAAAAATTCATTTATTTTTTTCCATTATTCGTTGAAACTAGAGTAACTAGCTAGTTTTAGCTTTATATGTATAAAAGTAAGCTATAATAAAGTTGTTTGCAAATGTATGTAATTATTATATAAAAATTATTTAATTTAATAATTTAACTGAAGTAATACTTTAAATGAAGGTTTACAATTAAGTGTGAAAAAAGAAATTATAGTTAAAAATAAAATTTATTAACATCGAGAACGCAATCAAATTTCAATAAACGAATTAAATACAATGTAAAACAGCTTAGTATTTATGTAGTAAATTTGTTTACAATTTAAATACGGTGGGAATGTGCAAATTCTTCCTCAGTATTTCACATGACATATGTAAAAATGAACCATAAACATCTTATGTATATAAAGAAAAATCATATCACATTTTTATAACAAGGAAGAAAACTTGTATTCAACTTAGTAGGGTCGATTAAAAATCATGATTGTACTTTCAGGTATATCTATAATCGTACATTAGTAATAATTGGTAATAAGTTTTCTACCAGAAGGAAACTTATACGAGCCTTTTTACAAAAAAAAAGGAAATATTAATTAAACTATTTTTTTTATATCACAGAATTGAAGATTGCATTACGAAAAATCATTTTCAAATTACACATATCGATTAAAGTTTAAGTAATATTCCAGGAATGAAATGTTCTATCAGGAATGTAAATTATAATCATTGAAAAATATATTATTAAATGCATTAAACTTCCTGATACCTGAGGGTTCTGGTAATCATACGAGTTAAAGGAAAGGTTTCGTTCAATTTACACGTGTTGTTCCAGTCGTCAGTGTTCAAAGACAATATCATTGCACCTCCGAAATTGTTTGCACGAATCCACTCAGCCTGTAGCAACAATACATTTCATTCAAGTATTACATAGACTCCATCATAAAATGTGAACATAAAGAAATAAACATTCTGACAACATGTGTTCAACGGTTCTATACCTGCCTGACCGCTATAAAAGTTAGGGTACGCTATAAAATCTTCGTTCAAAGACCTAGTGATATAAAATTATCGGACTTTGTAAATCCTACATACGAATAATACTACAATTTAAGCGACGCTACGAAAATATCAAATATTTTTAAATAAATTAATTACGAGCATTACTAAACAATTGTGCCAAAACACAAAGTATTTCCTCCATGTAAGCGCGCATTTTAGCCATGTACGTAACGCGATTATAGAGAGTAGTGGATACAATTTTACAGTTGTTCGTGACAACAACAAAAAAAGACATTATAAGGCGGTCGACATAGTGCGATTATAAGGGAATACTGTATATAGTTAATTTGTATAAATAAACATTGTACGTACCTTATAATAAATACTTCTAATATCGTCGTATGATATCCATGTTTTGTCTTTGTAAGCATATGGAACTTTACTCTCATTTTCGAAAACACTGTTTGCACCATTTTGAAAGAACTGACATACTGTATAATAGGAAACGAAACCCATGTCACCCAATTTTCCAAATCCATTTGCTGGAGCAAGCAAACCATGATTCAACGAATTATCCAGCTCATAGCTGTGACCATAAGTAGGAATCCCAATAATTAATTTTTCTTTCGGCATGCCTTTCGCGAGCCAATAGTGAGCTGAGAAATTAACATTCAACGTAGAAAGATATCCAGATTCAGCCGAGCGCGGAAATAGGGGTGCATTGAGCCCAGTGACTGGGTAATACCAGACATAAGAATGGTAATCGTAGGACATAAGATTCACAAAATCCACGTATCTAAAATGATTAATGGATATTAACATGTCACATTGTGATACTATCTATAATCAAAATTTATGAATTGTTTACTTTGCCATTTCTGAAACATAATAGCTCTGATCGACAATGACTTGGGGGGCAGCTACAGCAACAGAAAGTATTAATGTTACTTTGGCCCGTTGAAATTCTATTTTTAATTCTTCTAGAAGCTGCACGAACTGAATCTTTTCACGATCGTCAGCTCCAAGCCATGCTGGAAATTCCCAATCTAAATCTAAGCCATCAAAACCGAATGACTTTGTCACATTTAATACGGACTTTATAAACCTATAATAAATTTGTATTAATATCGACGTAAATGTTGCACACTTATCGTCTGTTTTTCAAAAAAACAAAAGACCGGAGGTAGGCAGCGGATAATTTGCAGTGTTGCCGCGTTCGCAACATGTCTACGATGTTTGTGTTCATCTCATTCCCTCTGTCTTTTTACCAATAACATTCGACTACCCGCATTATCGCATACATGTCGTTGACCTCTTCGAGAAGGTCCAATCTATGTTCTCTATGATATAATCGGTGAACTCGGTAACGTGAGGTCTGCAAAAAATGGCAGGCGTGAATGTTTACATGTTCCAGCTGCCGATACAGTAATCAGAGGGATATAAAGAACTCGACCTTCCTTCAGGTCCATGCGATGTCAACTGGGAAGTAGTACGCGTCCGAGTCCTCGACAACTGTAGGTTTATTTTTACTAGTACGGCAATTGTTATCTATTATAACTACACCGTGTGTACTGTCCGCAAATTTTCCACAGCCCGTGAATTTGTTTTATCAACCAAGCGGGAGAAATGCTCTTATGCTTAAAAATAGAGAAAGACACACGCTATGATTTACAATCTGGCAGCGTCGCACGAAATACAAGTACAACGACCGTTGGGATTCCCGCCGCGTCACGTGCCTACCTCCGAGCCCACCTCAGATCTCTTCTTCGGAAAAACCGACCATAAATATGATTACAAATGACTGCAGCTTACGTTTTTCTATTAGTGTGATTCTTTACCATTTCCGAGAAACCCAAGTGGAGCTCATTACTGCCGCCAATGCTAATCATGACCCTTAATTCAGGCTGCAGTTTCTTCAAGGCAACAACATCCTTGTAGATGGATGAACCCTTGCCTAAATCGAGACTGCAGTTCACCACACTCGCAAAACCCACGATAATATGCGTACAAAGATTAGGGTCAATGTGCGACGGATTGAGCTCCCCGAGCGTGTTCAGGTCCCTCGATATGGTGTAATAACAGACAATGATCTGCCTATACAAATCCAATTTAATAATATAAGCATCATTCATTTTCTATAAAGACAGAGTTGATAAATCACTGTATTGTAAATGTTAATAGGAATTTACAATCGCAAATTTATGTACCTTGTGGAGTTGGTGTAGAGCTGCTGTGACGAACTGATGCTGTTGTTCCTGTCCGCATTCTGGTTCTCCTTCGTCGACTCGGCGTACATCCGAGCCCGACGTAACCACGTAGCAATCTTGGCATTGTCGAATGCCTCGAACAATGTCTCTGTATCTACGGTTTCTGATTCTGGAGAGCTAAGAATAAGAATTCCTATCCAGGCACGTATTACAAAAAGAATCCCTAGTACTAATGATATTAATACCAAGCACAGCACTTGTGTCTTCCAACGAGGTCTAAAAAAAAAATGATACACAAATAAATTTCATATAAATTTAGACATTAATTCGTGTAAAAATAAATTAACATTTATTTATGTTCTACAATATTAATTTAATGAGACTGGAAAAACGTTAATGATCATAATGCAACTTGAAAATAATAATAATATCAAAGTAATAAAGTTATAATCCACATAAGCTTGTTGTAGTTTTCAAATGCATTTATATTCAGTTTAACCCAAGAAGGCTTCTTGTGCCATAGCAAATATAGAACAATCAATATGCCACACCTGTAACTTTTGACATACACTTATATGTATACACATACATACACTTAAGCACACAAGGAAGGTAGAAGGTAGAAATTAAAATACTGTAAAAGAGAAACTTTAATATTTCTGTTCATAAAATAATTCAAATCATAAATATAAGATGATAACCGGGGCATTTGGGAAGAAATAATAAAATCTGTCTCATGATGTCCTTGGTAAAATTATGCATATATTTTGAATATACATAATTTATTTTTTTTAATACATGAAATAATAAACATTTTTTACAAAAGTATCAAATACAATTTCGTAAACATATCTCTGCTAAAAATGAAGAAATGTATAACGATATTAATCAATTGTTGGTTAACTGCTTAAAAAACATATTGCAAAACATACAATCTTTATCTTCAATGAAACAAACAAAGCATTCTTTGTTTAAAACTCTATCGAGTGCTCACATGATTAATTAGATATTATCGTTATCATTATTTACATATACATTGCGAAAAATATATAAACATAAAATCGTCTTTTAATAGTATAATTTCAAGAAAACATAATTCTACGACAATATAACATTATAAATAAATTTTATCTACTACAACTACAATGTTACACAATTTTTGAAAAATATTAATATTACTAACAGTACAAGTTCATTTATTCGAATGCAATTGATACTAAATAGATACAAATTAAAATATATTCTACTTCATGTGTAAAAACATTAAAAGTGAAAATAAAAGATTGAAGCATGATGCGTCAATAATGTATATTTTTTATAAATAAATTCTACATAGTGAATAATGAAACTGCATGTATGGAAAAGTGGAATTGAACTCAAGGCTTGCATGACATGCGTATATATAAGATGTAATGACGAATGCGAGTAGGAATAGTTGAAAATATAACTTACTGTCGAACGTCTGTTAACAATTCATACTTGGCCTGAGGCACAGGAATTTGATTAACCATTGAACTGCATTGAACGCACAATGTTCGTCGTGATTGACGCGTGAGGACGCTAAGTCCTCGAGGATGGCTTACCACTTTTGTTACTACGCCCAGCGCGATAATATACTGATATTTATGTACACGTATATACATATAGAATCAAGTAAGTTACGTAGGAGCGGCGAGGGTAGGGCATGATGCGCACAATGGCTTCGTACGAACAGCTAAGAAGCGGGAAAATTTTAAACTTTCCATACCAAGAAACTTAAATTATTTTAATTAAATAAGAGTAGTAGATCGAGCCTACTATCGTATTTATATTTACAGTTACCTACGAAAGTATTCGAACACTCGAATACTAAATAATTGACGAATAAAATATTCGCATTAAATTAAAGTTCTTAAAATAATACCGTAACTAAAATGGGACACGTGTCTTGAACATGTATATAGGTATATAATGTTGGAAAGAAAATTTCAAACGAGAAGCTGTTATAAAGGATGACCTGCAATTACTTGGAAATACACGGGTAATAAATCGGTTGTTAACCATATTACTTGCTTCCCTGGGTGCTGTCCGCTCGACTGGTCACTAATACTATTATCCCTAGGCCCAGGTGCTAATTACTTAATTACGTTATTTTTATTATAGGACAGAGTGCTGGATTTCTTAGGGCAATGAACATCTTACATATCAGTACTTTATAGACAGTAATTAATATCGTATTTATAATTATTTGAATATTTTCAAACTTCATCTTTGGGATTAATAATGTTAAAATGAATATCATAAAATTGCTTGAAAGATACATGTGCGTAGATTATATATTTTTGACAATAAGTACATTCGTTTCAAGGTATATATTATACATATAATCTTATGAGAGTAACACAGTTTTAAAGTTTGTACACATTCATATACAAACAAAAGTCATAAAAATCAAATACTCGTGTTTACAGTATAATTTATAAAAACATAGTTTTTAAAACATTAAAAAATGTAATATAGAAAATATATATCACATACAAGTTAAAATTAAAATTTTCATGAAAGACAACATTAGTAACTGAGTAAATTAAAAATAAACAATAAGATAAAAATAATAACTTTGGGAAGCTCAGGTAAATACTCTGATATTATACATTAGTAACATTCTTTCCGTTTTAATTAAAATTATGAAGTAGCACCATATTTATATAGTCATATAAAAATAAAGAAATGAAACAGATCTTCAAATTCGAAGTATTAAGAATTACATTAAGTTTCACTTGTGTAAAACTTAGTATACTTATGTAAACAATATAAAAAACTTGCATGATTGGCATAGTTTAACATGTAAATCAGTTAAAATTATGTCACAATTATATAGTTTTTTCTTTCCATACAATCTGATATGAGAATCAGAAGTATTTAAAAATCTTTCGTATACCGTGGACATTTACTCTCTTCTGCCACTGACTAGAGATTCATCTTCTGCTTTCGGAATACGCTTGTAGCGTTCCTGCGTCACAAGATAAACTGTCAATCCACCGAAGATAATTATTAAAAGTCCAATTATATTAATTAATACCGCTTCACCCACAAGCTTCGAGTAATTACTCCTAAAATTACATAATATATTGTATTAAAGAAAATATAAACTTACAAGACCAAATAAAATAAATTTAATACACATGATAAAGGATTCACGTACTGTAATGCAAAAATAGCCTTTTCGTTAAGCCCTAGAAGGCAGGAAGCAATTACACCAACAAATCCTGCAATGCCAAAGTATACATGAATTGGCATGTAAGATGCACGCAGTGGAACTTGCAGACCTGGGTAGAGGAAAGATGAAAATCCGGCAAGCCACTGAAATATTGCGACAAATCACAAATTAATTTAGATAAAATCATAAAAGCAACATTCAAATACAAGCTATTTTTCTCATACCTGACAGCAGAACAAAATTACACTGGTAAGTCCAATCCAGCTGTGAAGACTATACATGTTTGGAATTGGTTCTGGATTTAAATTGTGACTGTCGAATGCAGCAACAAGAGCAATTACTATTAGCAAAACTACAGATAACATTATGCCACCATGAGTGAACTTCAAGCGACGTTTTCGAGCATTTCTTTGAGTTCTATATATTAACATCCCTAAAAGAATTAGAGGTATTAAATAAAATATGAAATCAAATGGAATTTAATTACTAGACAGCAGATTTTGTGCAATTATAGCACATCTGAACATGCAAAATGAAATAAAATAAGTATTGCAATAATTCTTATAATATGTCCTTAATAAATAATATAAATTTTTTTTTGAATTCTCATGTTCTAAACTTTCTTTTTAAAAGTGTAAATTTACACAAACGTTGATTTATTGATTACAATTCTCATGACTTAAGATACGTACCATTTGCATAAAGAAAAAGAAAACCAGTGACCATTAATAAAGGATGCCAATTGAATTCTAATGCTGGATTAGACCTCCAAGAGAAACCACCTCTATAATGACCACACCAAACTGCTACTAGGATTATCAATATTGCTCCAATAACTTCCATTAAAATAGTGAGTGGTCTGAATCCTTCTAAAGATACATGTGGCTCTCCAATTTGTTCCATGTCTGAAAATTGATCCAATAACTATTCAATTGAAGTCATGAAGTATTACATTTGACTACATATAATTATAAGCATAACAAAAGTTTTTTTGTTATGTAAAGCATAAAAGATTACACAACATACAATGAAATAACATACCTAAACACACTTGATACTCGTATGGATATTCTGTTGGCATGGTTCAATGAAAAAAAATATATTTTTTATTTGACAACCTATATTTCATTGACTTTTCCACCTATTGTTTGTGATAAATTCTTTTATTTATATGTTGTAATAAGTTTTAATTTATACGGATAATATTTGAAAATATATACATTTTTTCTATAAATCTTATGCTTAAGAAAATAATTATTTTTCTTCTGTAAGCACTGTATAAATTATTTTCTTATAAGTATTCTATTTAAAAGTTGTTTTTATCCTGGAGTTACGACTTTTAAAATATCTAAATAGTCTGTAATTAATATGTACCTTATTTAATTTAGATATAAAGATTTCCTTTGAATCTCCCTCAACAAGTGTCAAATAGATAGTCATGTTAATGTCGCTAATAGTATTATAGAAAGCAGGTTAGATTTTATAAAATGACAGTATGAAATGTATTGAAATTGGAAAGATTAAAGCGTGTAATTGAGTAATATAAAAAGACAAACCAATAGTATCTTATTTAATTAGCAACATAATGTGAAATTTGTCGTACTACCTGTAGAGTTTCCACGAGAAAGTTTCAAGGAACGATCAACAGGTACCACGTACACACGACGTAAAATAAATTATCGATTTTACGTAGTTATATGGAACAGGATGTTTGAATGTATCGCACTTTTAATCAACACAGCAACTAATAGTAATAAATTAATGAATATTATTACGTTTAATTTCACTTTTAGTTAAAACTACAGTTTATTAAGATTAAATAATGAGAAAGTATGAACGGAATAAATACAGTTAATAAAAAAATATAAAGTTGTCAAAGACTTTGAATGATTACATTTATCATTAATTTCATTGAGACTTATATTATAATTACTAATATTTGAGATAACGTTTGTATAATAAAAATAATAATTCATGAAATAAACTTAAATGTATGTAGCATTAATTTTAATTGTTGTTAATGATTAAAGAATTGGGTAATAGAAACAATTACGTGCAATACCATTTTAAGTAATTTCATTTCAGATAGATTATTGTAAAAAAGTAATTATACACTCAAAAATAGTATGAAAAAATTTTCTTAGTGAAAAAGATACAATCTTTTATGAAATTTAGTATAGGTTTTAGTATAGATTGAGATAAAAAATTATGTTTATATTGTACAAATTTATTATTTATCATATACAATATGAGTATTTGAAAATGCGCCATTACAAGTAAACAATCGACATTTAAAGGTAAAAGATAACCTTTAAAATTTTGTCGGAAAGAGGAGGCAATAATTAGTTTTTCATTGTTAATGTGTCATGACTGATGTGTACAGTATTAAAGAACTTCAAAATGATTGAAAAGAGAAGGTTTTTTAAAAGTTTATTTAAAAACCGACAAGTCATATTTTCCTTTGAAAAATATTTTTCCGAAGCTACGGCAACTAATAATAATGAAAAGACAACACATTTTGGATTTAAAACTGTTAAAGAGAGCGATAAGGTGAAAGAGGGTAGGTGTTATAATTTAATTAATTATTCGGAATGTTTTTACAGTATTTGTCGGTATTAATGAAATAGATGTACCTTATTTTAACAAATATATGTATTGTAGTATATACAGTATTCGAGAAAGTAGCAAATTCCTATGATCGGATGAATGATGCTATGAGTCTAGGAATTCATCGTATTTGGAAGGATATATTTATTCAAAGACTAGGACCAACTCATGGAAGTAAATTATTAGATTCAGCTGGAGGCACAGGAGATATAACATTTAGATACTTACAATATTTGAAAAGTACTCCTAATCGTCAGAATGTAAAAAGTTCTGTGACTGTTTGTGATATAAATGAGAATATGTTAGAAGTAGGAAAAATTAGAGCGAAGGGGCAAGGTTGGCAAGGTCTAGATAACGTTGAAATTGATTGGAAGCAATGTGATGCAGAGGTCCTTCCTTTTGATAATGATTCTTACACAGCATATACAATTGCTTTTGGGATAAGGAATGTTACACATATTGACAAGGTAAATAGAATTTTATCATGTTCGATTAAAGATAATTGATACAACTGCTTTTAGGTACTTTCTGAAGCATATAGGGTACTTACACCAGGTGGTCGTTTCATATGTTTAGAGTTTAGTCACGTAGATAATGATGTCTTGAGATGGTAATTATTTATTCATACCCCATTTTATGCCATAGAAACATATTAAAGAATAACATTTATGCACAGGTTCTATGACCAATATTCATTTCAAATGATACCTGTATTGGGTACACTCATTGCAGGAGAATGGCAAGCTTATCAGTACCTTGTTGAGAGTATTAGGAAGTTCCCAAAACAAGAAGATTTCAAGGTAAACAAGTTGAGCTGTATAGTAGAATTTATATCAGAAATAATATATGCAATATAAATGTTTACTGTAATAAGCGCAGCTAAAACATAAAATTGCAGTGACTGTTAATTCTTCCAGGAAATGATAGAGGAGGCAGGATTCAGGAATGTAACTTATGAAAATTTAACGTGTGGAGTAGTATCTATTCATTCAGGATTTAAATTGTAATGTTAATACATTTTATCCTGTGTTCAGTTTGTAAATATACTTAACAGCAAGTGAAGTAATGAGTTGAACTGTGTAATTATAAATTTATACAACTGAAGTTAATATAAAATATAATGAATTACTTATTTTATTTTCACTACATACAAACAATTGATAAAAAACATTTTACATTTTTATTATAATTGTGATTCTAAGAAAATGTAACTACACTTATTTTCCTTCAATCAATATGATATAATTTACAAATTAGAATAGTTAGAGTAGAGAAAACATCATTTAAATACTATTTTTATTTAAAAAGGATTTTAGTTGTTTGTCGATCAGTTCTTTCTGTTTCGGTGTTAGATTAGTAATTTTATTCACAATTGGTTTTTTATTGACATCTAATTCTAATTCCAGAAGATCATCCAAAGTTTTTATCTGTTGCTCTGCACTCCGAAAACTCTGAAACATTTAAATGATACACAGTGTATCTATTGCATTTTCAAATGGTTGAAAAACAACACTTGATTGTAGCTACCATTCTAAGTTCGTGTTCGATTTCAGGATTCTTTTTCAACTTTTTCTTTAATGAAAATTCCTGTACACTAAAACCTAATAAATTTTGAAGAACCTAAAATGTTAGGAAATGGAAATAGACTTTGCATTAAAATTCGAATTTAAATTAATTGCAATCACTTGCCTGATTTGAGAAATTAACTTTGATGTTTGCAGTACCGTCTATTATAGTAGCATCTAAAATCCACGAAGAATCTTTCTTTGATAATTTTCCAAGGACCTCCACGCGACCACGAATTGTTTTACAAGTAGGCTCTGTTATGATTTCGTTATTTATATCATGAATAAAGTCACAAATTTTGGTATCTGGTGAATGTGGTCTTTTTATAAATTCTGTCATTTTTCTATCAATTCTTCCTTTCTTCAAAGTCACTGGGTCAGGAGGGGACATTGGAATCTGAAATATTGCGTTGTTAATCTACGTGTAACAATGATACTAATATTACCGTGTTCAATTATTTAATAACTTACAGATCTCTTTGCTCCAAATGAAGCTACAGAGGTTTCTAATGGTTTAGCATGTCCTTTTAAATGAGGTATGATATTTGAGGAAACCGCTTTACTAGTAAAGCATGTAGAATTTACATGCGAAGTGTTTTCTGTTTTCTTGACGGGTTTTTGAACGCTTTCATATGATATGTCTTCAAGCATGTCTTCGTCATTTATTACGATAATATCGTCATCATTCTCTTTTGGTAGAGCTCTGAATGGAGTGGCAATGTTTTTTAGCTCTGGTTGTGATACCACAAGTTGTTCCTCATCAACCTATAATTATTGTTACGATTTTAAAAGTAAATAAAATAAATCCTAGAAATGATAAAACATATTTGAACAATATCATAAGTTAACAACCATTTCTAAGAAACAATCATCATCATCTAAGATTTTATTGTCTTTACAATTATGGTCTTTCTCATCAACATTAATAGTAATACAGTTTTCCTTTCTGGTTTCCACTCTGAAACTGTAATTATCTTTCTTTTCAATATTGGTAGCAATGACATTTTCTTTTGCGGGCTCTACTTTACAACTAAAAACGTTTTTCTTCGGAATATTGGTATTCATAATATTTTCTTTGACAGGTTCTGTTCTGCATGAATTAACATTAAGTTGTTTATGGTCTTTATTGAGTGAATGCTCAATTTTAGAAACTTCCTCTAAATTTATTTCAAATTCTTCTTCAAAGAAACTATCTTCTAGTCGTGCTTCCTTTTGCTGTTTCACATTATTTGATTTTGATGCATTGTCATTATATGGGTCTAGATTCTCTTCAAGTTTTCTGTGAAAAAAGAATTTATAGTATATCATCCAGGAACAATTTGTCACACAATGAGAATAATGTTTATCCAATGTCATAACATTTCACACTCATCCAGCAATGATAGAATTACAATTGGAAATTCAATAGACAGGAATGTGTTAAGTGGATCTTCAATTCTAAATTAAAGTCAATTTATCATAAACTACTCACAGAGCTCTGGCTAGAACATTTTCCAAAGCATTAGGAATTAATAAACTATCAACTTCACCACCGATTCCTCTTAGTTTTCCTTCTTCTAAAAATAAAACACCTTTACGGCACCTAACTGGTCCTATTATCATAACTTTATAACCTGGTAATATATCCTTAAAAAAGAGAAGATGTTGATATTTTATAAAGCATTTCTTTTATTTTATAAGAGAAAGAGTATGTTATATCTACTTTTTCCAATCACATACATTCAATCGAGATATCTGCTTATACTCAATTCCAATTACATCTTGTAATCCATCTGTCATTTTCAACTGCATCATTCTCTTCTTAGGAGGTTCCCACTTTTCTAATTCTTCTGCTTCAGTTGGATCCACTTCAGAAACATGAGTATTTCTGATCTGTTGTAGTTGTTTATACTTTGATGTGGATATGTCATACATTTGTTCTACCTTAAAAGAACAAATAATAAAGTACTTATACAATGCTTCTATATGAATTACTTATAGTTTATTGATAATATTAATAGGTAAGGATAATTAATATATTGAATGTTTACGTACCTGAAGAATATAATTCCCAGATAATATAATAGATTTGTGCTGTGTAATATTACACGGTAAACATCCATTTTTATTACTAATTTCTCGTAAGTCACTAAGTTGCCACTGTACTTTAACAAATTGCAAAATCTCCTGATTACTTGGCTGAAAATGAAAATAAATGTGAAAAATACAAAAAACATAATATTTGTAGTCATGTATGATACTTGATATATATTAAAAAGACATATGTAACAAAATATCATTTTTTAGAAATGCTAATTAGAAGTTAAGGTTTGCCTCTTACATGTTAAGTGTCAAATGTTTTGAGGTAGATATAGACTGGAAGTTATTATTTACATTTTTGTGCTGATCCACGTAGAACTCTATGCAATCTCTCAACCAGTCATCATTCATTAGGTAGAATTCTGATTTTAAGTCAGCTTTCGTTCGTTTAAACAAATCTTCATTCATTTCGAATATTTTTAATCAGTCTTCTTTTAGCGTATACTCCACACTGCGCTATGTATACATATTTGGGACGAATAATGTACATAAATAGGTTTAAATCGAGTTATGCCTTAAATGTAGTATTCACAGATAAACATTCTTCTTATTACAGGGCGTAAAGTACGCGATATGCATATATTTTTTAAAACATTGTTAGCAGCGTTAGCCGTATGACAGTTATCGATGTATATTAACAATATTATCTGTCAGCACTGAACTGTCAGTAACATGTTGTATTGATAGTTGTTAACAGCATGTAATATTACAATAGTTGGCCTGACTATTTCAGGATAATCACTAACAAAAACAGACGTACTTATTTACATATTTAAATGTACGAACAAAAATACACGAATGTTGGGAATTTGGAATAAATTAAAAACGGAGCTTAAGGTTGGTAACACTGGAAAACAGAGTTTAATGTGTGTTTCGCGCCAATCAGAGACAAATTAATAAATTCAATGTCAATATAATCAGAAATAATATTTCAAATACATCAAATGGTACATTGAGGTTCCAGTACTCGATGAAATCAGTAGGATAAATTTTAACAAGCATCTGGTACCTAATGGATACGATTTTTTCATAATTGCCTACTACAATTATAAACAAGAATTGAACTAAAATTAATAAAATTTTTATCTCGATTACTAAGTTGTGACTATTTGTAGCTACATTTATTATTATTATCCGATTCTTGGTACTTTTCTATTTGAATACCTATTAACAGGCTTTTTGATGTCGATATGCATATCGACATTTTATTAATTTCCCTTTAAACAAGAATTAAGGGAGAAACTGTTACACATATGTATATATCTCAAGTTAGTTTCACCATTGCATAATTTACTACTAAAATCACAGACGAGATATAAGAATAGACCTAACATCTTATGGGACTTGGTGTCCCACGAAAATCACGCTGATTCGAGTGCACTCTACATAAAAGTTTCCGACTTTAGGAACTACGTTGGACACCATAATGATTATCGGTAACGTCGGGTATTGACACTAAAATGGTAAGGGGCTTCTGACGCCCTCAAAGTATGGGACAGAAAATTACATTGCATGTTAAGGTCTATTCATATGTCTCGTCTGTGCTAAAATCGAAAAATTCTTTAATCGATCGTTGGATATAGACACCTGTCAAATAACCTCCAGTAGGTAACGTGTCGACTGCATATATTTATTCAAGTACAATACATATAGATTTTTACGAAGTAATTTGTACAAACTGAAGTTAAACGGATAGTTGTTTATTTTCCAAAGATTCTTATCAGGATCCAAATAATACAAACATTTCATTATATATTATTATACTTTTACTGTACCCAGTTTTAGAAAATCGCGTTCAACGTTGCTCTTTTTACATAATGAGTAACACTATCACCAACCCGGCGTCATTGTTATCACAATTTTATCATTTGACGATGATTTCCATCCCCATGGAACCAGTTCACTCGAGCCTATTTTTAGTCCTTCGAACACACATCTCTCTCTCTCTCCTGACAACCCTAGTGGGGGTGAGCTACCCTTAGTGGGGATTTAACGAAGAGGGGGAAGGAGGAAGCCAGCCATCAGGGCAACGCATGTCTTCTGACGTTTCAGTAGGCCGCGCGAGCTTGAGCCGTGTATGTTCTTCTGGAAGTGTGATTGTTTCTTTTTCATCTCTTTTTCCTGCCGTGGTATCTGGTCTGTTTTTCTCTCGCGATATTCTTGTGCGTGGAGATACGTATCGTGTGTGCGCGCGGCATATTGTTTTTAAATGACTGTATACGTCGATGTATGTGTGGTAGGAGGTAGGTACGTATGCACATGTAACATGAGAATGTGTGTGTATGTGTATATGCCCTATGTGTGTGTATGTGGAATGTACCCGAATGAACGTATGTATGTAATAAGTAAACGAAGGATCCGTAGCTTCGAATAGTACGTATTGTAATAGAATGTATAACTGGGGCTTATGGGAACCAGGTTAGGAATTATGTACGCGGTACAAATTTCGGACGTTGGAATTTATACGAAGGACGTGTCTCTTCCATCGGTTTTATACACGATCGTAGTCGTAACTTCTATTCAAATGGAATACATTACGTCATTACATGTTGACATATGTACGCGTAGCAGACAGATCGACAATTATTTAATATGAAATGTGGCAATTTTTATAATTGTCTAATGTAGAAATTTTGTTGATTACTCGTATCGAATAATCGATAATTATTCATATTGAAATCGAGGAATTTCGTTGAACGCATATGAAAACTTTTATTCGTGGGTTACGTGGATGGACGAACGTGTGTGCGGTTATACGAGAAACATATGTGCAGATGCCCCTGTGTGTACGCAGTGTGTGCAGATACAGGCAGAGGGTGTTTTTAGAAGTATGTAACCGCCAAAATTGAGAATGCAGCCAAGGTCAGAGATTCCATGGATTTATGACGGACCGATATGACACACGGCTTTAATTTCTCCACCATTGGCTATTTATTATCGCGATACGGCGCGCGTAACGAGTTGACCGTATGCGAAATATCGTTCGCCGCGACTTTCTACATTTTTTTTTCTTTTTCGGAATACATCGAAAGTACTTACTGCGTGTTGTTATTTTGTACCCGGTCCTATGGACACCAGAGGCCACCGAGAAAGAACGTCGGTTTTGTAAATAAATAATTTCTCACGACGTATCAAGAACAGATAAAATAAGTAGTTTTTAAATATTAGCAAACAGTTTGGTTAATATCCGTTGTATCTGTAATATTGATAAAGCTTTCAGTTTATCTTTAGTATTCGATTTTGACAATTTAAATGCCTTTCTCGGCCTTAATGAATACAGGGCCTAATCACCATAGCTTTTATTCCGATTAAAAATTTGTTTTCACGATAAGTTACGATTCTTTCAAAACAACATTCATTATATATACAACAACACAGTAATTTGAGACCGTAACAAACAAATATTACTTGAAAATAATTTGGTATCAGTCAAAAGAAAATTTGGGACGATTTTCATGTTCACGGTTTGAAAACAAGAATTTCGTTCATCTTAATTCTAATTTCGTGGTTAGTTTTAAATCTTCCATTAACGGAATACGGAATCGGCGAAACGAAAAAGCAGGTACATACATAGGTATAACTCGATTGATTTTATTCGAAAGGATACCATGTTATTTCGTTGAAAACGATCCTGGAATCTGCGGAACGGCATAACTGGTGGTACACGGGACGTGCGTTACCTTTAGAATTAATGTATTAATTTCCATACTACTACCTGAGGGGGGAGGGGAGGGGAGAGGGGGAGGTCCAGTCGTTTATTCACGTGCAAGTATGCGCAATATGGATTGTGCGGGACGCGCGGAAGGGAATAAAATTTATGACGTATGCGGGGGTTGCACGGTGATAGGTTGAGGTACATTCAGGTAGCTATTACTCTAATTGTGTTCTGTAGGCTCTGGGAAGCTTTCTACGTTTTCACGTATGATGGAATATTAAAGACATCGAGAACCATTCGTGAAAGTAGTGATATATAAACGTGTTTCGAAGGATTTTAGACAAATTTTTAAATTGTTGATTTTACAGCTGTTTGAAATATAATGTCAACCGTTTTTCAATAAATTATAACTGTTGAATTAAGAAAGTGATAAAAATGGGCTTTGCGGGTGATTACCAGTAGAGATATAATAAAAATTATTTCTTCATTTAGTTTGCAACTGTTTTTAAGAAAAGCAATTTTATAATAGCAGGGCATTATTGACAAATATGACAAATCCTGTTACAACATTTTTAATAATGTTTATAAAATTTTACGGACCAGTCATTTTGATTATTCTGGTAGTTCTAGTGTTAAGTGTAGATGGAATTGCAGGTGAAATATATTTTTCGCTGTTTCTTTGTTAGTAGACTTCGATCGTTTAAGCGAATTTATATTGTCGTGAGTTAGCTAAAGGAATGAGGACTTACTTATTTCTGAGTATTCTTGACAAAAAGATATAAATTAGTCACAGGTAGACGGACGTCCGTGTCGTGTACTATTAGATTACCGTCTCAAAGACACATCTCTCCGTTTTTTACTGACCACGACAAGAAAGGAAAGACTGAAAAAAAATTGTACGTCGAGGTTTTTTTTTTATTATCAAGATGTAGGAGGGTTGCAACCCCTTTGGGGGATACCCTGCGAGTGATATCACATATCTCGTGCAAAAAACTCTAGCCAGTCTTGAAATATTAACATACTGGGCTTATTGCTGTGTTTTTAATCACTTCCAAGAAAGTACCTTTTAACCATTCACCAGACCTCGATAAGAAACTTTGCCAATGAAAAAGAGTTTGACATTGAAATTGCTATTTAACAAACGTAATTCTTTCTTGTGGGTGTAGGTTTATTTATAATTTTTTCTTTTCGAGCTACAAAATAGGGGTTAGGTCTTTTTTGAAGTACAATTAACCCCGTCAAAGGCAATAGTGAATCGTTAACGACCCAAGCGAAATGTCTTATTTTTTTCGAACTTTTATTTTTATTGAAACAAGTTTTAAATATTCGACTTAACGAATGATCGTATAACGGAGTGGTGACATTTATAAGTATCCTAGAATTTTTTCAGATGTTTTTGAAAGTGTACAAACAGTGAAAAACATTAGGCTTGCACATAAACGACCCAGTTTGCCCACCGAGTTTAAAAGAAAAGTATGTTGGCCTACGGTAACAGTTAACCTTGTATTTTCAATTGTATGGTAAGTGCACCAATGAATGAACACTTAACACATTTTGTAACTACTAAAGTCGAATTTTAAATGATAATAATGTTAGTAAATATTTGGCACGTGAAAATTAGTTTTGTTAATCTTTTAACGCCCTGACAGTTAAATCGTTATATCAACATTATGAGACTGATATACTTACATGTATATGTTGAATCTTGTTATATTGAAGCCGAAAATATCGACATTAAACCGACCTACTTTTTGAATTTTTTTTATTTATTTTTAACCCTTGAACGCCCTAACCTAACATCTCTTTCGAGGAAGAAAATTATTTTCCGCGATTGGCTAACTCAAAAATGCTCTCAGTACGTTCACTTCATCTGTATTTTCACGACAAAACCTCTGGAAATACGATTTTCCAGATGTGACGTATCCGTAACACTGGACGTTAAAGGGTTACTATCTATATCATTTTATAACGTATAAATTCCAATTTGCAAAAATTGGAAAAATGTGATTAATTATATTTAAAAAGACAAAATCCAGACTTCGCCAGTAAATGAACAATATTAAGAAAGATGAACGTTTCTAACTAGTGGCGTGAAAATTGTTTGAATATGAAACCAGGAATTGAAAAAAAATCAATATTCTGTCATTTGCTTATTTTAATAACTTAATCCACTCGTTTTTATACATACTGTTCATTCACTGGTACGTGTTCATTTACTGGTGCATGGAAATTGTGTCAATTATGTGTTGAAAATACGTTGATTATACGTTGAAGACGGGTCAAATGTGACCCACCGTGTCACCTCGATAATCCAATCGATGCGAACCGAATGTCACAGGTGAACAGCACGTCATGAATGTGTTTGACGCCGTGAACGGCGCTTTTCCGATCTTAACATCCCCTCGAGATCCTAATGATCGAACGGTTTAATCCGTCATTGACACAGTCACCGGATCCGGTCGATCGAATAACGACCCGACATTTCAATCTCGAGGAAGAGTGATTAATCTCGGACCCCACGGTATAATGATTCCTCGACGCTGAAGTTGTGATCTCGGCTAAAATGTGTAAAGTGTGTTCGTTAATGAAACCTCTCTCGGGTCAATTAAGGGGATTAAACGACACTGGAAAAAATACTGGAAAAAATACACTTAATTGGTAACGACCGTAGTCTGCGAGAAATTCGATTTTGTCAAAATCGACAAACGTGGTTTCTAGATTGTAGATTGTCTTATGAACTCGCCTTTCGCTAGGGGAAAAAGTGACGTAGGGGAAGGTCCTCCTACCACTTGGTGTCGAGAATTATTGGTATTTATATCAAATTAACATTTGATTTAACCTATCTTTCAGAACTTGAAATAAATTTATCAAGTGGCAGGAGGCTCTTATTCTACACTACTTTTTCCCCTAGCGTCAGTGTGCCCTCACGAGCAACCTCGGCTTCCACTAGGGGAAAAAGTGAAGTAGAGGAAAAGCCTCGTATCACATGATAAATTTATTTCAAGTACTGAAATAAAGGTTAAATCGAATGTTAATTTGGTACAAATTTCAGTAATTCCCGATATCAAGTGGTAGGAAGTCCTTCTCCCACGCCACATTTTCCCCTAGCGGAAGCCGAGTTTGCTCGAGAGTGTACATACATGCACATTCCATCTGCCTTTAATTTTCCAGTCTCCGTGCTTCGTAATCTCGTTTCCGCGGTGGTTCTCGGGGCCTCGTAAAAACGGGCTAGCCATTCGGCCCCCTCCCTCCCCCTCCCGCTGTAAATTATGAAATTGTAACTGAAATTTACAAAATACACGGAGAAACACACCGACGAAACCAGCCACGGGTCAGCCAGTGTATTTATAGTGGGACGTGGAGGACATTTACAAGACTGTTCAAAATAATTGGAGGATCATGTCAAGGCTGCGGTCAGAGGCTCGTAGACCTAGCGCCGACGTCTATACGATTCGTCACGGAAGCTTCCGAACAGATACTAGAAACAAAAATTTTTCGTGAGATATTGAGGCTTTTTAATCGTCGATTATTGATAATAGTGTCCTTCTGAAGGGATGTCCTGTTTACAAATAATTATTCGAATTTTTTAAACAGTTCTTGTAGTCGTTAGAGGGGGTGGAAGGAGGGTGGTCTGAAATTGTTCGTGAGATATGGATGATTTTTAATTGTTAATTATTGAGAATAGGATCTTTTTGAAAAGATATCTTTTTTACAATAATTATTAGAATTTTTGAAACAGCTCTTATAGTCGTTAGAGGGGGTGGAAGAAGGGTGGTCTGAAATTTTTCGTGAAATATTGATGCTTTTTAATCGTCAGTTATTGAAACAGGATCCTTCTTTTTAGAATAATTATTAGAATTCTGGAAATAGCTCTGATAGTCGTTCGAGGGAGTGGAAAGGGGTTGTAGAATTTTTGATGAAATATTGACGTCTTTGTTGAATCGTCAGTTATCGAAAATAGTGTAGTTTGTTTAATAATAATGGTTATTGATCGATAACAGGAGTTACTGAAAGTGAAACAGTGGGCTGATCAAATACGGAACCACTCTACTTTGTCACAGAGGACAGCTAAAAATCTTTCCCAAACCACAAAATTTCCTACATTTATGAGAAATAATAATCACTAAGTGTATAAAGCATAAAAATCTGGCAAAATTGAATCTATCAAAAGCAATACATTAATTTCTCAATTTCCTAAAAGTAAGCGGAAACAGAATAAATGTTCCGTGAAAAATTAATTCTACGAAGTTTGTTATATATAATCAACATTTGAGAATAAATGCTAATGAGCATTCGTCGACACGTGTCATCTGAATTCAAGTAAAAATACAATTTAACACATTTGTCATAGTTAAAATCGTCATAATCCATTTGAACCAAACAACAATTTATTTGCCTATTAAAGGTCCCCCTTAAAAAATTCAAACAAGAACTTAGTAACAGAAAAACGAACCTTATCAAATTGTACACTTAAACGACGTCAAAGAAACACCACTGAAAACCCTACAAACTCACTGAAAATTGTTTTCAACAAAATGTTGCAACCCAAAATATTCTCTTTATCGCCACGACATTTTATTGTCACATTCCATAAAATTATCGTTCGCTAATTCTTCGTATGAAGAATGTCAAAAACTATTTATTCGAACGTTTTTTCTTTTCTTTTCCTTAAATTACTTTCTCCATTAAATTCAGTAAATTGATCGGTTCCCTTGTCGTCGCGAGGGGACCATCGTCTAAACACACAAGAAACCGAGCCGTTTCGTCGACACGTGAAATTGACGTTACGGAGTTAATTCGTTTTCCTCGGTTAACAGGTGATCCGACGTCGCCGTCGTCCCCGTGGCAAGAACGGTGCAACGAGTGAAGAATGAAGGATAAGGACGCGTGAACGATAAAAGGGGAGTGGGGGTGGGGGGATGGAGATCGAGAGTGTGTCCGGAAAATGTTTCGCGGGAAATTGACTTTGTTGAAGTGAACTGTAAAACGGTCCCAGCGCATCGGAAAGTGACGATTGAAATGTGATAAGGGGGGAAAAAGCCGGTTAACGGAGAAAGTTTCGGGCGGGGAAGAGTGTGCGAGTAGTAATATGCGTTTGCAAGCATCGGGACAATGTTCGACAAAGGTGGTTCCTAGGAAGGAAAAGTTGAAAAGTACGAAACACCGACTGGAGACGGCCGCCTCCTCGATAATGAAGACAGAAGGCACTTCGTGAAATCTGAGGTGAGTTTTTTTCCTTTTTTTTATTTAAATATTGAATATTCGTTTCCTTTTGATCGAATCTTTGATTACTTTTTTGAACCGTTCGCATTCTGTCTGGGTTTAATTTATTACTGGACTACGGAAGTTTATTCAAATTTACAATTTTTGATGCTAGTGTCGAAAAAGTAAAATGGAAGAGAATTTTGAATTTTACACTAGAGGCTTTACCACGTTAATGGTAACTAGATTGCGGATGTTTTTGCATTTATAGCAAATTTGTACATGCAAAATGTTAGAAAATAAAGACTTTAATTTTTATTCGTGAACCAAAAATTGTGTCATCTGTACATGCTTCACATGGATAGTGTGCATACATCTCAATTTTTATACCATTATATCATGAATAATACCCCGATACCGTGGCCAGTAATACCATAAATTCCACGACAATACCCGCGAATAAACGGTGAAAATATCGGCGACCTACCAAACCAGCCGGTCGAGAAAACGGTTTTCAACCGGGTTTCGGGAAGATCAATGAGTAGAAAATATCCCCGGCTATTACGCTCGATTCAAATCGTTGCCGCGGATCCAACGGCACTTAAGAGACCTTGGAAAGGTGTATAAATTGGGACGAATGGATGGACGAAGGAGAAATCCCCGTCGTAAGAGAGGGCCACACACACGGAGAGGATTTTCTTTCGAAACGGTTTCTCTCCTCAACGAAGGAACCGTCCCACTTTCGGACACCGGGCTTCTGACAGGGGATGAAAAGTGGCATATTATGCCACAACAATAACCGGCGGAAGGACGATAGCTAAATCTTCTGGAGTAGGAAGGGCCGTTCGCGTCACGGGCAAAGGTGTATCATGGGATTACGACCAGATCGTGTCGAATGTTTGGGCGTATTCTGATCAGCTAGAATCCATCTAACGGGTCGTCAGAAACGGTCAAATTCATTATCTACATACAGAGTTTCGAAAAAAAGATGAAACAGTACTTAACACCAAAATTACCGACTCTATCAGAATGACGGATTTCAGATTTTTTCTTTTAGGGTTACTGAAATCCTAGAGATACTTTCATCGGAATTTATGTTGACCTCTAATTTTTTATACACTTTATATTATAGTATACTAAGCTATGAGAGCTTCACCATGAGAGTTTTCGATAAACGAACAGGGTTTTGCTTTTTTTTATAGACCTTATTGTGAAGGAATCTAGCTTCTTTCCTGAAATCTAGCATGTTTTTTTAGTAAAGTGAATCTAACACGCGTGGGCCAAATACTTACGGGCGGTAGTCGTTTTGAGGGAAACATGTCGCGTGACGGAACATATCACTGTGATAGACTGAGGTAGGGAAATTTCGTTCCAGTTAATCGATATGGTGCAGACTGATCGCCAAGGAACACGAATCCCGACGACCCCTATCACGGCGTGTCCAAGTTCACGACACATTTTTTTGCTGAAAATTTCTTTGTAAAAATAATATTTTTGAAAATTTCTTTGTACCGATATATGGACAACTAAGATCAACATGACATTTATCGGAACATTTTTTTCGATATCTTTTGTAATTTACAAGTTACAAGATAATAAGTGAAAGAGATGCTTTGATAAAAAGGGTAGTTTCTTCCTTAACCCTTGTAGTACTTTATAAGTTTTCCGTGTACCGTTCAAAAATACCTAGAAAACCATGTGACTTTTGAGGTATTCATTAAAATTAACATATTTCTCCTGGAAATGAAGATATTAAAAATGGAATGTCGATATATCGGCTTAAGGAATTTTTCGGAAAACCCACAAAGCCGATATTCTAAGGTACTAAAAGGGTTAAAGTCTAAACGTAACACCAACTAAGTACGGCAAAACTCTTAGGTTGGTCCCGTAAACAATTCAAGTTAGGTAACAAAACAACAGTTTCGATTATTTTGAAAATCGCAGCGAATTTACCTAAAACGAATCGATCTCACGATTTCGATCGACTAATCGATCGAACTAAACGATCCTCGAGTACTCCGAAACCCATCTTAAATCCCTGACAACATGAAACAAATTTATTTGTTCCCCATTTTATGTATCGTATTATACAATCGAATATTTCGTTGCATCTTTTTTTATCCGTGAAACTGTCATCCCTGTCGCGATCGAATGGCTCATTACCATCGAGCATCGCGACGAAAATCACTGACAAAGGACAAGTTTCGAGGAACTTGTTCATAAGAGGTGCTGACGATGATATTCCCCAACCGATACGACCGAGACCCAGACCCACGAAAATAGGTGTTCCAGCGGAAAACGTTATCAGCAGTCAGAGGGGCTGTCGGGGGCCCCTTCAAGCGGTGCTGTGGACGTGTTTCTCTTTAAAAGAAATTAGCAGCGATACCTTTCAGGGCTCTTGGCCTCCTCTCGAGCACTCTAGAGCGCGGAGTGCACGAGGCTGGCCTCTGTGTGCACCACGTTGCGCGCTGCCCTTATTACACGATACTCCATTGCGGAACCGTCTTTGCCACGGCGAACATTACAGAGAACGTCGAGGCGAAGAATGGAAATAGAGAAATTTTCGGTTCGTCGTGATCGTCGCGTGAGTAAGTGTGTTTCTTCAGGTTATCCAAAAAAAGCAAAATTGCGAATGGATTCGATTCGAGGGAATGTAAAATCGATCTTTGTGATTCTGTCAGAGGTGATGATAAATGGAATACGGATTTTATGCATTTGTAGCATGCACGATTGTCTGGGGCAGCGTTTCTCAAATTTTTTCTTTGACCATTCGAGCTACTAAATTTTGATTCTGAACCACATTGCGTCGTCTGTGACGCGATATATCGACAGAGAATTGTTAAACAAGTTGTAGGTGGAAATAAGTTATCAAAGAATAAACACCTCGGGAATAATAAACGAACAAACGATCGACAGTCCAGCGATGAGAACCGATTATTAAATTGGAATTTTACCCGGTCTCACGGCTCGTTCGGTCGGCCGCGTTCCATGCGGTTAATGATCAATTTTATTGTCATAAATGGAGAATTCGCGCGAGTTCGTTATACCCTTGAAATATAATTTCTGTCCGATCGGTCCCGCGACATAAGCGCATTTCTATTATTCATTTATTCCCCCTAAAACTCGCTACTCGTTTCGAGTTGTTTTCACGGATACGGGTCCGACACGTGAAACGACTCCCGGTAGAACGGTGAAAATGCCTCGTATCTTGGGCTCAAGAACGAATCGAAAATATGAAATACACGATTTTTATACAGACCAGTTCAAAAGGGAACGGAATAGATATTGGAAATTGCCGACCGTGTATATGTAATATTGTTCTATAGGAGAAACGACGAAACAAATATTCCAAGGTGACAGATGACAGTTTATGAATTCTCTTTATTAGTGAATTTGTTAAAGATCAAAGGACAGTAAAAAATGAACAGCAAAAACTTGGTGTTGACTAGATATTGATTCTATATTGACTGAAATATTGACTGAAATATGGACTGAAATATTGACTGAAATATGGACTGGGAGACTGACTGGAAGACTGACTGGAAGACTGACTGGAAGACTGACTGGAAGACTGACTGGAAGACAGACTGGAATATTGACTGGAATATTGACTGGAATATTGACTGGAATATTGACTGAAAAATTGACTGGAATATTGACTGGAATATTGACTAGAAGACTGACTAGAGGACTGACTCCATTTGATTCCAGTTGTCTTTGTTTGATTCGGTTCGACTCGGTCCGAGTTATTTCTTGTAAGAACTTCGTACAAGTATTTAATATACGCTTCACATACGTATTCTGTAAATTTTACATGTTTAAAAGCATATTATACATATTGTATAACTTGAAATATTTATTGTACTTCGATATCTAACATCTACCACATTATTTTCGTAACGTAAGCCACAAGGATATTTCACGTTTCAGCAAATTCCTACCTGGTACCGCCGAAGTTACAACGACCGCGGAGCGATTGATCAACCGCGATACCGTTAATAAGCCCAGGTCGGCTGATAACTGATAACGTTTTTCCACCTTTTTTTGCGATCCATCGAATTAACAGGGCTGGAACAGTTTGCGGATAAAAGGTGTAAAGATAGGGTGGTTCACCGGGCGTTGTTTGATGAAGAGCTCGAGTGGATAATTGATAATAACCCCATCGACAGGTGCCGATATTTATGGAGCACACTTTGCGAGCTGCACGCACTTCCTTCCTGTACTTTTCACACCTACAGTCTCCTATAATGTTATCAATGCACGGTTATACAATCTCCGATCACAATGATGCGTTCCAAATCGAATTCCACGTTTAAAAAACAATTTTCACATTTTATCGTAACATGTCATTTAATAGAATTTTATGCTTCCGCGGTTACGATAATTGGAACTGTGTGAAATATAACCATTATATTTTTCTATTGTTATTCCATTTGAACATATATTAATTGTAAATGTATTTTTGTAGTATCAACCCAATGGAATTGGTAATACATCCACAAAAGTTATTATAAAGTAATTTACAAGCAAAAAATGTCTGTTATACACTGACCACAATTTCTATAAACTCACCATGTTTTTTTTTATTAATTCTTATAATTATTCCACACCATTGAAGAATTTCTGTTTTTTTTTTTTTTTAAAACATGATAACTTTATAGAAATTTCAGCAAATTTACGGTGGCAGCGCAATGTTTTGGTGCGATAATGGCGGTCTCATTCTTCATTGTTCACGGGAGAAACACCTCAATGAACGTGCCCGTTAGAATCGGGCGAGCTCGTAGGATTCCAAAGAAGGCTGCCCCTATAAATAGAGTTCCAGGCGACGGGGAATCGTACCGACGCGATAAACAGGAATTTCGAAAATTCCTCGACGAGTCGACCGGAATTCCAGAGCCCCTCTAAAGAGTTGAGCGAGGGGGTGGATGGTCACGGTCGCGATTTCAAAACGTTTGTCTTGAATAATTCGTCCATTGAATTGGAGACCGCGGAAGTTTCGAATATCTCAAGAGTTCGCGATTCCAGAGGATCGATCCGAACTGATCGACGTCGCTGAATCATTCAGAGATCCGCTGAATCGCTTTGGTTCACTGAAAATCTGTCTTCGTTCGCCTTTCTACAAATTTTCAGGGAAAAGACGTGTGTGAGATCGTGAGTGAAAAAACAAACTGACTCGTTATTTATACTCAACATTGTACATTCCACAATACATTTTATTATTTGTTTAAGGAAAGATTGTTACGATAAATTGTGTTGTTAGAATTTTTCGTATAAGGAATCTTAATACAAGTAGAACAAAAGGACATATAGTAGGGGACAAAAAAGTTACCATTTTTTCTATTTTTTTTATAAAATCTTACGATAATTGTGTTATTATCATTTTTCGTTGAAGAAATATTAATACAGTAAAACTGAAAGACATACAGTGGGGGTAAAAAAGTTACCACTTTTCTGGTTTTTTCTATTCTTATTATTTCTTAACAACAGGTTGAAACCTTAATATACCGGGCTTTATACAGTTTTTAATTCTCTATCAGAGAATATTATTTAAATACAGATTAAGAATATTGACGGTTTATTTGAAATATTTGTGGATCCCGCATCTTGTTGGCTGTTAAATTACACAAATTTTTTTAACACAAAGTATACATTGTATATAAGTAGTACGTATTTGCAATAGGAGAAGGCATCTGTTTGTGGAGGTGGGGGGTAGAACGCTCGAATACGGGAGGTCCTACTGTATAATAAAATTGTGGAGTGTATCGTTGAATATGAATAACGGTTAGTCAATTTGTCTGCACCAATTCGCCGAGAAAACATTCGAGATAAATGGGTCTGGAAGCTCGTTCAGGACCGTAAGAAATCGCACCACCACAAGAAAAGTGTCAGGAGTCGAAAACATGTCATTCTTCAGAAGAGCGAAAAGAAACTGATTAATTATGTAGCGTTTCATACATTAGACAAAGTGACGCTGAGGTCATCTCACTTGAAGTATTGGACTTCTTCAACTTGTGATATTTTTCTTGATAGTGGATCTACGTGATCTACGAAATGAGATTCTTTACTTGTGCCACTCTTTGACGATATCTTTCTCTCTTTATGGCGTTGAACCCTAATTTAACGAGTCTGCTATACAGTAAATCCTCGATGAGTGTTCGAAGGCTCCTCGGTACTGAATATTAAATATTTCATAAACTAATGGGCATATGTGACTGAAACAAATATCATTGGTTTCAGAATTCCAAGCTCTATTACTGTGTTAAAACTCATTAAAAAGTTAACCTTACACCTGGGAACCTCTTCATGTCAGAGTCGAGGAGCCTTCGAATACTCATCAAGGATTTACTGTATAGCAGCTATCATTGATTCTTGTCCACCGTTGGTATTCTAAGAAGTTAGCTATTTCTTATCCACTAAGTGTATAAACAATCACTAATGGGTTATTGTAAAGGTGAAGTCAGAAAGTAGATATTTATACTAATATAGATATTCGTGGACGATGTCATAGAAACTGGAATCAGACAGAAGCCTCTGTCTTTTCCATTAAGACTTATATCTGGTCCGAAATTAAATAAAAACTTTAGACTATACCCAATATTGCAGAATCAAGTGTGCGTTATAAATATATAAAATCCGTAATCCACTCATAATAGAAAAATCCACTCATAAATTTAGATGTCCCACAATTGTACGCGGCCAACGTCGAGCCACGAATGAAATGGTCGAACCGGTCAGATCTTATGAATTCTTTCGATGCAGTGGAACGGAGGTTAAATTTGTAGGTGGTAAATAAATAATTCGCGAGTGGTGGCTAAAGGGTCGTTTTCTGTTGTGTTGCAGAGGGTAGGCGATATCGGGCATGATAGGGATGAACTTGCGGCCGTGGGTGAGACGGAGATGACCACTAGATCCGTGCCTCGTCCTGAAGACGAAGACGAGGAGGACGAGGAAGAAGAGGAAGAAGAAGAGGAGGAGGAGGAGGAGGAAGACAACAAGAAGGCTCGTCTGAGTCTACGATATCACTGCCACTGATATCCACTCTCTCGTCGCATCGATGCCGACCCCTGCGTCCATTGATAGAGGTAAATTTTTCAAAGATTTTCTAGCTAAAAAATGTTCTTCTTCCTTCTTCGATCGTGAATGAAAACGAATCTGACGAGGATTTTTCAGTAACGACCACGAATGCAATTACAGAGTCACAAGTCGTTCATAGACCAAAGTGACTGACTCCAGTTTTTCAATTCAAATTTTACCGCCGAAACACTTGATCGGTGCTTAACTTTGTGTATTTGGAATACATATTCTTGAGGATTGTTGTCGAGTTAATTGCTTTCGCAAATGAATGACTCGTATTATGATACAATTAAATTTTAGTATTGTTAGGTGAGTAAATAAGAAATGTTTAATGAAAGGTGAAGTCGAATATTCATTACGAGCCGATTTGTGGAGTTAGTTAACATGCTCCCGGCCACCATTTTGTTTGGGAACCATATGGGTTATAGACCATAACAGACTTTCGATATTGCATTAAGTAAAATGTGTTCACTTTTTGAATTGAGCATTGAAAAGTATAAAACGAGGTTAATGAATAAATAACTAATATAAAATATAAAAGAGTAAGTGAATATTTCAGATTTTTTAAAATTATAATAGTGGCATATATGTGACGTTGATGGCGGATGTGTTAATACCATCATTTTTGACGAAGTGAAAGTTGTATAAGACAATCTTAGTCCCTTTTTTTAAAAAAGTATAGACGTAACACTAAATAAGTGTTACATTCAATTTTGAAACATTTTTAACCGCCTTCATAATCACCGCTACAAATGGAAAAGGGAATATCGATAAAAAGATAACGGTGGAATAGAAACGACGAGTTGGTTAACAGATTAAAACGGATACTACTTGAAATGTAGCGATTCGATGCATCCGCGAATGTGTAGGCGCGCAGTAAACCCCCGGAGCATTCTTCGACGCGATAAAATCGGCCAAGTGAATCTTGACCCGATCGAATTGTTTACGCCCGGGACCTTGATGCTCGCCAGACCACCGAAGAAATTTCGGAAACGAGCTGTCGGAATACGCTACTGCTCTCGTTTACGATGCTTGTTTTCCCGTGACCGATACCATTTTTCTGCGTCGCCCCCCTCCGAGGATTATTATCCGTGGGAAGATTCCGTCCATTTTCATGCACCTTTTACTTCAGAGAAAAAAACTGGAAACCATTTTTCTAAAAAAGAAAATCAAATAAAATATTTTTGGTAATTTCTTCGCACGAATTAAATAATGAATAAATGTATGAAGTATTTTAATCTTTCGATCCGAGAATTATTATCCGTGGGAAGATTCCATCGATTTTCTTGCCCCTTTTACTTCAGAGGAAAAACTGGAGTCCATTTTTCTAGAAAAGAAAATCAAGCTAAATATTTTAGGCAATTTCTTTGCTTGAACTAATTAATAACTGTTTGAATTATTTTTATCTTATTGGAAATTAGCAGACAGCATTCGTTATGATTTATTCCATAAATTATGGATAGGAAATGTGCAAAATGTTAGTTGACAGAATTCTAGTTTCTGTTACCTGGCGTTGTAATATATTAATAATAACAGTCTTTGTTGCACAGAAAGCACAAAATAAGAATGTAAGAATATAAGAATATTAAACGTAACAGTGAAATAAAAGAATAGAAAAGAAAAGAACGTTATTATGCAGCTGGCGAGGTACAGCGAATTATTGTCGCTTTTTGAGCCTTTTATGTATGTACCTTGTGTTGTAATGTGTGTTACTTTCTTCTTTAATTCACGATATAATTGCTGCTGTTTTGTACCACTGTGCTCCACCTTTCTGGTAATTTAACCAATTCTTTTTATAATAGAATTTCCACGAGGCCTGATAATTATGTAGGATTTATTTAAGGCACATTACACTTTATCAAAATCCTTGTTTCATCACACGCTGCAGGTTAGCGGATGATGTAAACGCATAAATACCCGCGATCTATTAATTGCAATGAAAGCTACTTCTACTGAATATACATGGTGGCTGCACGAATTGTCTCAGATTCAGAAAATCGTGTTGATAGAAAAATATTATTCAGAAATTATACAATCGACTCAACAAAGTACGGTGTAACAAATAGTGCAAATTGTTTCTTTGCAAAATTAAATTGTTATCTAATGTACCTTACAGACGGTTAGAATCTACTTACGGGGGATGATTAAATCATTAGAGTTTCTGGAGAAATAAAATCATAGTATCAAAGTTTTTACAGTATACACAAATTTTAATTAACAAGTTGTCATTAAAAATATTACACTTAGCTTATGGTAATTATGAAGAAATACAGTTAAAATAAGTTATGCAGATGGCTCGAGGAATTTGTATATGTTTGCGTTGTGAATCACGAACGTTTGTAATAGGAAGTGTGCAGAGAACAATGAAACAAGACACGTTTATTATTACTAAATGCATTCGCAACGGTGTAGTCAAATAATTGCGGATTCGAGACGATTCGTTTCGGTGAAATACCGACTTGTTCACGGTGAACTGCAGGCGTGACCAACTCGGCCGCGGCCGCGTAACGACCGAAAACACGATTAAAATAATAGTTCGAAGAATCGAAACCGTTCGGCTAATCGAACTTCTACGGTACATTGAGATGTATCCGAGCCGAAGGCCACGGTCTAAATTCGTCCCGTTGGATTTCGGCCTCTTATTCCCTCTCATGGATTCTACACGTGCGACCTTCGAGCATTGACATTAATCAGAAATCTTTTTCATTTTCGAATGATTGATATCTCCTTCACAATGGAAACATATTTTATATAGGATGTTTAAAAAAAGGATGTAAGACTTTGGGCTCTTATACTGTCCCTTTTAGCTTAATTGTCTTGACAGTCTAATAGTCTAATCATTTGAAAACTAGTTAGGACAAATGAATTAGGCTGTTTCTAGAGTCCTAAAAAGCACGCATGGCATTCTAGCTTTAACTAAAAAATTAAAAACATATGGGGCTACAAATATTTCGAAAAATCTTGAAAAACGGACATTTAAGGACATTTTAAATAACGAGGGAAGTATAGTTCTCATCGACAGGAGAAGAAAATACTTTATCGATATGTAGGTCCTAACATTGATCCTTTCGATACAAAAAGAACGAAGTATTAATTATTCGAAATGTTTGATATGTCTCCCTTGCATTTGAATATAAGAATAACATCCATCGATCATTAATCGATACACATTTTCAAGTGTTCCTGCCATTAGCGCACGTGCAAATCAATTCCGGTGTTTACGTTTAATGCGTTGCGTTAAGAATTAATTTTAGAAATCATCGAAACTTTCGAATCTACAGAGTTCATGTAGAATATCTACAGGGTGTTCCGTATTTGGGGCTACGATCGGAAAGGCGGTGATTGCACGTAGAAAAATGCCTCGAAAACGTAGAATTAAATGTTGTCATGACACGCTTCGATTTTAAATATCGAATATTTCGACTTATCTTTTTCGTCGTCATTAATTATGGGACGCACTGTATATTTTGAATCGCCAAGTACGAAACGACGCGAAGAAAGATGAAAAGGAACGAATGAAACCGAGTTTACCTTGCACCGAGTGCGTAATCAAACATTTTAATGAAAAAAGAAAAAGGAAAATACTTTTCATCTTCTTTAACGGGGAGAAATTCAAAGCGACTGCCATCTTTTCTATACCATGAAAACAGCGAAATTAAGCCTGCCGCCTTGAGTGGCTTAAGGGCTGCTTTCAAGACTGTGGAGATCACGCTGAAGGCTAAAAGCATCCAAAGAAAAGTCGAATATCCGGTGAATTTTTCAGAGTCCACGGGGCTTGTATTTGAGACGAACAAATTTTAGATTCAACGAGAGAAACAACGGGTAAACGCCTCGCCACTTTGCTCGCGGCACGCGATTTAGGGGATGCATCCCTTCGTGGCTGAAACTGGCGAAATATCTTTCTCGTCCACACACTGACTCTGACTGACGCGAGGGCGCACAATGTGATAAGTAGACTGCGGATTTTATGCGTTTATAGCGTGGATACGGCTCTGTGAAATAGAATAAAAGACAAAACTTTCGTTGGATGCAACGAGTTCTCCCATTTTATTCTAAAGTCGATATGTCGACCACAGAAGTTCATTCAAATTCTAGTTTCGAGATTCTGTAATATTTAAAAATTAAAGTGGGACAGAATTTTTAACACTAGAATTACCAAACCAGGTCAAAACAATTGAGTGAACTCTTATAAAAAGTATTAAATTACCATAACAGGGCATTTTTTGAGATTTTTAAACAGACTATTACCAACGTCGTAAGAAAATGATTTCGAATTAAAATCGACAGTTTAGTGATATGAAAATTCGGGAACATAAATTTTTGAACTACCAGATTTCCGTATTGATCCTGTCTTTCAGTTTTTTCTCATCAGATGAAAATTTGAATTTCAGTTTAGTCGTAGAATTATTTTATACAAATGTCTTTTATACAAAAATCTCCCAGCAACTCATTTTACTGGGTGAATTTCAGAATCGTGACTTGTACACGTAAATATTTAATTGCGTCAAGAGAAGTATGGTGGGGGTGGGTGGCTAAGCGAAAGTTGATGAGAGGAACGATTCGCGGGAACGTTTAAAACGATGGTAATTAAAATTAACCGAACAATTGACGAATCGAATCCTAGTTTGAGCGGTTGAATACTAGTGATTGCAGCTGATTATCTTAATGACCCTGAGGGACACAATGATGCTCGGGGGATCTGGCGGATGGACACCTTTTTTAATGGGTCAAGTGTCAACTACTAATTACACACTGGGTTTCATTCAGCCGGGAGACCCGCTTTTGCGCCGGGACAGTTAATGCATAACAGTGGGGAACCATTTTGGTTCACTGAATAACCGTCGAAAAATGTTCGCGCGATATTTCTGTTCTAGCTGTTACGTTCAATATTTATCGAATGTTATATCCGAATATTCACAACAGGGAAGTGTATTATTACATACTTTTATTCTTGAATCAAAGATTTTTCAAGATTTATCTTTTTTTCTGTAGAATTCAGTAGGTGAAA